GAAGAGAAAGCATCCTAAGTCTTTTCCCTAACTCCAGATCCCATTAAGTTATTGTTCTACATGAACGCTCCCTTTTCAAATACCACACCCCAAACCCTGTTTTTCTATACTACCACCACAAGTTTGGAGATAGTGTCAGCCCTACCTGAGTGTCTGTGTGATGAGAAGTGTGAGTAAGTACAGCTCTGGGTTACTTGAGGTTTTCCTAAGTAACTAACAGCATTAGTGAAAACATATGTTTGAATAGTTTCCAGAGTTGTCTAAAATTATTTTCCAGTTTAAAGACTCCTGCCAAAGAGTTAGTTTTTAGATTTTTAAAAACTTTTCCCCTCCTATTTGAAATGTCCTGATTACTTCTCACTCCTTCAACAATTTCTGATAGCTGTGTTTGAAATCAATAGTTATTTCACTATTGGAGTATAACCAATATTTTATAATAACTACAAAGGGAGTATAACCTTTAAAAATTATGGATCACTGTGTTGTGTACCTATAACTTACAGTACTGTAATCAACTGTATCTCAATTTTTTTTAAGTAAAAATTTAAAAAATTTTTTTAGGATTTTTAAAGTTATGGTAATTTTTTTAATTGGAGTATAGTCAGTTACAATATGTCAGTTTCTGGTGTATAGTACAATGTCCCAGCCATGCATATACATACATATATTCATTTTCATATTCTTTTTCATTAAAGGTTGTTACAAGATATTGAATATAGTTCCCTGTGCTATACAGAAGAAAAAATTTTAATCTATTTTTATATATAGTGGTTATCATTTGCAAATCTCAAATCCCCAAATCTATCCCTTTGCACCCCCAATCCCCTTTTAACTATAAGATTGTATACTATCTCTGTAAGTCTGTTTCTGCTTTGCAGATGGGTTCATTCGTGTTTTCTTTTTTTGTGTTTTCTTTTTTTTAGATTTCACAAATGAGTGTTATCATATGGTATTTTTCTTTCTCTTTCTGGCTGATTTCATTTAGAATGACAATCTCCAGGTCCATTCATGTTGCTGCAAATGGCATTATTTTATTTTTTATCATTGAGTAGTATTCCATTGTATAAGTGTACCACAACTTCTTTATCCAGTCATCCGTTGGTTAACATTTAGGTTGCTTCCATTTCTTGGCTATTGTATATAGTGCTACTATGAACATTAGGGTTTATGTATCTTTTCTAATTAGAGTTCCCTCCAGATATATACCTGGGAATGGGACTGCTGGATCATATGGTAAGTCTGTTTTTTTGTTTTTTTAAGAAATATCCATACTATTTTCCATAATGGCTGCACCAAACTACATTCTCACCAGTAGTGTAGGAGGGTTCCCCATTCTCCACACCCTCTCTAGCATTTATCATTAGTGGACTTTTTAGTGATGGCCATTCTGACTGGTGTGAGGTGATACCTCAGGGTAGTTTTGATTTGCATTTCTCTGATAATTAGTTATATTGAGCATTTTTTCATGTGCCTATTGGCCATTTGTATGTCTTTATTGGGGAATTGCTTGTTTAGATCTTCTGCCCATTTGTGGATTGGGTTGTTTGTTTTTTGTTAAGTTGTATGAGCTGTTTATTCTGGAAATTAAACCTTTGTCAGTCGCATTAATTGTAAAAATTTTCTCCCATTCCGTAGGTTGTTTTGTTTTGCTTATGGTTTCCTTTGCTGTGCAAAAACTTAGTAAGTTTAATTAGGTCCCATATGTTCATTTTTGCTTTTATTTCTATTGCCTGGGTAGACTGCCTAGGAGAACATTGCTAAGATTTATGTCAATGTTTTGCCTATGTTTTCTTTTAGGAGATTTACAGTATCTTGTATTATATTTAACCACACAAAATCTATGGGATGCAGCAACAGCAGTCCTAAAAAGGGAAGTTTATAGCGATACCAGCCTTCCTCAAAAAATAAGCAATCTCAAATAAGCAAGCTGACCTATCACCTAAAAGAATTAGAAAAAGATCAAACAAAACCTGAAGTCAGTAGAAGAAAGTAAATAAGAAAGATCAGGGAGGAAATAATAAAATAGAGATTAAAAAAACAATAGAAAAAATCAATCAAACCAAGAGCTGTTTTTTTGAAAGAGTAAAAATCGACAAACCTCTGGCCAGGCTCACCAAGAAGAAAAGTGAGAGGACACAAATAAACAAAATAAGGGGGAAAACTTTAAATTTATTTCATTATTTTGAAACTTTCTCATCCTAAATTGAAGTTTTAGATTTTTTTGTTATGAGTCTACTTGGGACTTAGAGAATATAATATGTAATAGAAATAAATACAAAACTACCAAAACAAGCAAACAAACAAAAAAATCTATCAATGAAAAATTGCTTTCGGAAAATACAGGGCAACCATTATTCTTGGACGTTAAACAGTCATCATGAATCTCCAGAAACATAGTTGATTTTTACAGGCTTCAAGAAGGTATATCTGATAATGTCACTGATATGGGGGAAATCCATTCCTTAAAATGTATCAGGTTGATCTTCTTTTTCAAAAATAGACTTTATTCAGAAAGAGAAAGAAAAATCCGTATGATATCACTTATATGTGGGATCTAAAAAACAAAGGCTACAAACGAACTTATCTACAAAACAGAAATAGAGTCACAAACATAGAGAACAAACTTATGGTTACCAGGGGTTAAAGAGAGTGGGAAGGGATAAATTAGGAATTCGAAAATTGCACCTCTTGGGAAGTGATGAAAATGTTAGCTGTCTTGATTGTGGTAGTGGTTTCACTGGTATGTATAAGTAACAAAATTCATCAAAGTGTACATCTGGAGAGTAGAGCTAGTGGTAGAGCACATTCTTAGCATGCATGAGGTCATGGGTTCAATTTCCAATACCTCCATTAAATAAAATAATAATAATAAATAAATCGAATTACCTCCCTGCCTCAAAAAAAGTGTACATCTGAAATATGTGTAGTTTACTATACAGGAACTATACCACAGTAAAGGTGTTAAAAAAAAAAAGAAGGAAAGAAAGAAGGAATCTTCAAACATGTTTTTCATAAAACTTCCAGGCAATTGCTTGAATTTGGATAAAGACATGTACTAAGTAGCATTCTGTTGTCTTCCTTCATAATCCACTGAGCTCACTTTGCTGTGTGTGAGTGGTGGGAAGAAATAACATTTACACTAGATGTGGCCTTACTCTGTCTGCACTTCTGTTCCCACTTCCCACTGGAGCCCTAGTAAGAAAGGTCGAGTTTTGTGGAACATTTCCAACTAGTAAATGGATTGCAGCCAACTCAAGTGGTCTTAGGGAAAGAAATGACCCCTCCTTCTTCAGTCCCTGGGAATTTAACCCAGACAAATGTCAGAAGGCAGAGAGCACCCTGCCCAATTTTCAGCTTTGCTAATATAGAAGTGAATGAATGGAGAGGGAAAAGTACAGAGCTGGGAAGGAGATTGGGAAGTGGGTAGGAATGATATAAGGCCCAAATGTTTCACTGCTCCCCTATGCCTGAATATTAGAAATAGTAAAACAAACAAACAAACAAAAAACAAGTAAGCAAAACATTAATAGTTCACTGGCCAAGAGCGTAACTGCAGCTTCTAAAACAGAGTTAGTGTAGTCTTAAGTCAGCAACTCTTTCTTCGCCCGCAGTGTCCCTAGTTATGTGTATTATCCCACTTCATCTTCACCTGCGATATACGTAGAAAATATCCACTTTACAGCTAAAGAAACTGAGGCTTAAAAAGTTCAAGTACTTTCTTCAAGATCACAGAGCTATGAACTATAAGAATCATATTCCACTTCAGAACCATATCAAGTGTTCACAGAACTGAAGATAAAGTGGAAAATGGGCGAGAAACCATGGGACCTTAACAGAGAAATCAGGCAAAGCCATATCACAGAATAGTCTGATTTGAACATTACACTTGGCAGGAACTTGTACCACTGTATGCTCAGGGTGCAATACTGTTGGACTCTCAATACCACCATGGAGAATTTATCAACTATTCCTTTGTTTTTGTGTCATTCTTTCATAATTCAAGCTGGAGCACCTAGTTGACGGGCCTCATTTCATGTGTTAGTGTTCTAGCTGCCAGGAGGTGGGGAGGATTATCTGGCCTCTTCTGTATCTGTTGGGGAGGATTGGGTCCTGCTTCCCACCAAGACAGACACAGTGAGAGATTCCCTACAAATAGGAAGAGTAATCGGATGCTGAGCAGAAGCCATACAAAGGGTAAATGTCTGCCACACCAGGCATGGCACAGAGACATCCACGTTGCATTCTTCTGAGGACTGGTTGAATTGGGAGTTGTGCCTTCCCCATAAGCCAGGCTGTTTTTTCATGATCCCAGGATCTGCCTGGCAGAGTCCAACAGGACTTTCAGGCACTACACAAAGTGCAGGGGTTTTCACACGAGAACCTCTGGCTGTTTCTGATTCTCTAAAAAATGACCAACTTAGGGATGAGTAACAGTGAAATCAGTCATCTGTTAGCATCAATTTGAAGAGGGAGCTTATAGAAAAGGGGCCCATATGGAAAACTCCTCCCTAACTTCTGGACATATCTGATCCTCAGTGTAGGGTCTTGAGACCCCGAGTTTGTGTGATACGTTACCCAGCAATATTTCATTGTAGCTTTACCTGATTAACCATATTAAACTTTTTTTTCCGGTAATAGGAAGGAAAAAAAATGTACATGGTCTTCCTTCATGAATTTGCTTGCATGTCTTTGCCCTTCTCCCAGATTCTCTTTGCCTGAAGATTAAGGACCAAATTGATTTTGTATCTTCAGTGTCTAGCATTATGCCCAGCATATAGTAAGCACCTTAAAAGGTATCTGAATGAATGAATGACTGAATGAATCTTCCTTAGCAATCTTTTTCTGAAATTGAATTGATTGTTGTAAAATGGTGGGGGAGATTTATAGTCATGTATGATTGAAACATTCTATAATATTTTAGGTTAAAAAGTAATTCAAAAGCTGCTGTGGAAAGAAGGACCACCAGAGTGACATGCTCCCTATGTTTGTTGTTATTACAGGTGTTCCAGGATCTGGGGACTGAAGTACTGTCTGGAGCTGCCAAAGGCTACAACATATGCCTTTTTGCCTATGGGCAGACAGGCTCTGGGAAGACATATACCATGCTGGGCACCCCAGTGAGTATTGGGGTTGGAATGCGATAGCTTCCTGAAGCCACAGCAAGCCTGAGTCTTGCATTGTCCTTGCCACTGAGAGAGAATATGGGTTTCATAGGCAGTCAACTGTAATAAGTTTTCATGCTTCCTCTTCTGTATTAAGAATGGGTATCTCAGCAGTTTAATCGAAAGATAAGCTTTGAATAATTAGCTCTTCTTTATTAAACCCTGAAGAACCTTAGAATTTTACCACTCCTTTTGATGAAGCAGACCTTGTCAGTCCTTCTGAATTTCTCATATCATTTCCAAGTTCATCACTTGTAGCTTTTTAACACCTTTGGTGTAGGCAAGTCCCAGACAGAGTCTTAAGTCCTGGCTGGGGCTGTGTGGATATGGGGCTGTGTGTTTGTTAGATCTGAGATTTAGAGAAAAGTAAAGGAACCAGCTACTTGGATGGGAGTCTTCAAAAGTGTATAGGACTTAGGAGAGTCTTCCTTTATCATGGAAAATGAGGAGGCTAGAGTTCTTTAAGACTACCTCTGTTTTGGGTTTAGAAGTACCCTGGTGAGATGAACTGTGGGGCACATAACACTGCACAGGGACATTCTCGAGGACACTATTCCTCCTGAAAGATTATCCCTGCTGCCTTGGGCCTAGCTCACTGTGTACTATGTGCATGTTTAGTGTGATTTTATATATTTGAAATTAAAAGAAGAAAATGCCCACTAAACGAAGGATGTAGAGCCCTTAACCTGAGTGCAAGTTAGCACTGGATCCAAGATGAATAAAGAAGTCACTTCCTCTTAGTGTGTATTTTGAACACCCACATACTCTAGTCCTCCTATGTGTAGAAATAGGAGGTGGGGTTCCAGGAGGGACCGCTGTGGTAAAGTGAGTTTATCCAAAAAGAATGTACCTTCACTGCGTGAAAGCAGGTACCTGAGTTTACTAGCTTCTCCTCTCTTCCTGCTCATGGTGGTGATTGGCCTCTGATCTGGTATATTCCTCCCATGAGAGTCTCCTGGGAGCACTGACAGACAGTCCTCCACATACCACCAGTGAACCTGCCTGAAGTGAGGAGGCTGCGCAGGGAGCCCATCCCTGCTGAGGGTGGTTTCTGGGCGTTGCGGGAAGAGCATCACCTTGAGCGAACAGTAATGCTTTCCTTTCTGCTGTTTCCAGGCCTCTGTTGGGCTGACACCGCGGATATGTGAGGTATAGACTCTTTTGACTGGATCCTCTCAAAGTAGGTCTTCACTGTACACTCCCTTCAGTGAAACTCCAACCCTCTGGTTTGTGCAGGGTCTCTTCATCCGGCAGGAAGACTGTGCCCCGCTGCCTTCCTCCTGCAGGATTAAAGTAAGGTAAGCACCTGTCAGGCTCTGCGGCCTGAAGTGTTTCTATTTCCACTCCAGATTCTAGCATGTTCAGCTGTCCTCTCTGCCTCCAAAGTCATCCAGAGGGATGGGGAAGAGCCACAGCAGAACTAGCAGAGAGAAAACAAGGTGATGAGAGCCATACTTGGGTTTTGAGTTGTAGGAAACTTAATTCCTAACCTCAGGCTTCACAAGCTGGTGTCTCCTGTGGACCAGTTTACCCTGGCTGCCTGGTTTCCTTTCCTTCATTTTCTGTAGAGTTTCATACTAGCTTTTGGAATTTCCCTTCAGTCCCCTACTGGGTTGCTCTCCAGGTCAGTAGTTCCCAAACTCTGATCCTCAGACTATTACTGGTTATTCTACTGTGAAGATTTAACCAGTTTGTGGTGTAAATGTTGGTGGAAGGTTACCAACTGCCCTTAATTCTCTGTATCCTTTTTTTTTTTTTTTTGGTGTTCAGTGTCCTTGCTTAAAAACATGAAATATATAGTCACATACCATAAAATTCATACTTTTAAAGTATATAATTCAATGATTTCTTTTTCAATATTTACAAAATTGTTCAACTATTATCACTATTTTATCCATAACATTTTCAGTGCCCTAAAAAAAATGTGTCCTTTTAAAAAATTAAATGATTGTGAACATTTTTTTTACATTTTTAAGTTTGTAAAGTAAAAATTTGCAAACCTGTGTGTGTATAAACATATACATTTATATTAAGTGTTTTATTGTCCATGAAATACATCAACCATTATTCTAAGAGATATGTGGCATTCCTGTGTCCAAATATGAGAAGGTTAAAGATAAAAAGATATACAAGGAGAGCGTGCAGAGAGCAGCTTTGAGCTGGAGCCTTTGTTTCTGACTGCTGGCTCCACAGGCAAGCATCCATGTTTTGATGAGGAGGCCCCTTCTGTGAGAAGTCTGCTTTTTTGTTTAGCAAAATCTTTACTGATTTTAATTAAGAATTATAGCTATGTTATTATTTTTAAAAGGAATAAAATGCTAGTAGATACCAATAAGACAGAGCATATCTTAAACACAACCCCAGTGTATAAGACAGGTAAAGTGAGAATTGTCCTACTTAAACTAGGGGTGGGGAGCAGAACTCGTCTCTCTTAGCTTCCCTTGTTGCTTAGCAGTGGCCATAGAGATGCCTTCAATGAATAGTAAGAGCTCGAAGATCATGTTTGAAAACCACTCCAAGAAACATGCTTGTAGACTCATTGCTGTGTGGACCTGGTCAAGGCACAGGCTAGGGGCAGCGTGCTGAAACCCGTGCTGAAATAGTCTCTTAAAGGCTGAACTTGAAATCAGCACTGACATTGTAAATCCCAAAATGTGAAGTGATGACAGCCGATGCTAAAAACCCTGTTGTACACATGCAGAAAGAGACTCAAGGGGGAAGTCTGGCGTGACCAAGGTCTTAGAGTGTCAGAGGTGGAACCAGAACAAGACCTTCTGGTTCTTGGCTTAATGTTCTTCCCACTTTTTTCGAAATCTAATTATATGCCTTTTTCGACATGTCTCTAGCTTCCTGGAAATCTATAACGAACGAGTGAGGGATCTGCTGAAGCAGTCTGACCACAAGAAGTCCTATACCCTTCGGGTCAGGGAGCACCCAGAGATGGGGCCCTACGTACAAGGTGAGCCACTGTGGTCCTGGGGGTCTGAGACCAAAGTGAAGCCTGGGAAGCTCTCCTCATGGTCACTGATTCACTCAACAAATGTATAACAAATACTCACTATGTGCCAGCTACTGTATGGGATGCTGGGTATATACTGATAAATAGAAAAGACAGTCCTGCCCTCCCAGGCAAGCTTACACTCTAGTGGGGTGAGTCAGAAAACAAGCACTTAATTACAGTTGTGATAAAGGCTAATAAAAAAAAAGATACAGTGTTGGCAAAGAACGCTGGGTGTTGTAGGTGAGCCATCTGTGTCAGGTGGTCAGGAAGAGCTTTCCTGAGGAGCTCACGTTTTAAGCTGCACCCTAAGGGGTTAGAGGAGCTGGTCGTGTGAAGCGTGGTGTACTAAGGACAAGAATGTTTCAGGTGGAGGAGCGGCATGGGCCAGAGCTTTGAGAGAAGGGCCTGGTGGTTTTAAGGGGACCAGTGTGTGTAAAGCATGGTGAGCCAAGGGGAAAGTGGTATGGAATAGGGTTGAGTCTGTGGTGCCAGATCCAGCTGGGCCAGGACTGATTCTCATGTCAGCCAGTCTCCTTTTTGGGATGCTTTCTCTTCCATTGGTTGTGAGAGTCAGGGAGATGGGGAGATTCCAGACATGGGACAGCGTCTATGCTGTTTCCTTATTAAGCACTGGCATTTGGTATTTGGTACCATCTGTCTTATTCCATTAGGCTAGGTCTTGCTATTAAGTAGGAACAGTTGGGTTCTTTTGTGGGGGAAGCTTTTACTCTTTTAGGCCATTCATAATAAATAACATAACTTTTATGCTCCTCTTCCCTCAGCAGTATGCTACTTAAATCCTGACAAGGAGAGGGACATTAAAGACCAAGAGCTGGTCTCTTCTCTGATCAGGGCATAGCTAATGGATGACTCAGCTGTGCCAGTCACTAATACTGCTTTTCCCAGTGTCTTCTCCCAAATGTTCTATCATAATTGACAGCCTGGAAACAACAATGAAAATACTATTTACTTTGCTGGTAGCCAGTTGGCTTTTCCTCTGTAAAACTGTGGATTTACATTTCTGTGTAAAGCAATATTGTGAACACAGACCATGAATTTATGCAGTAGTGCCACAGTTTCTCATCTTTTTATTTATTTTTATGTTAATGTATTTCTGTGTGTGGGTATGGGGGTAGGGAGAGTAACTAGAGGAGATCTCAGATGTAGTCCTAATGTCCTCATTGTGCAGAAGATAAAATTAAGTCTGGAAGAAGCTGAGGGACCTTCCCAAAATCACACAGCTAGTTGGGGCAGGGTTCGAACTGGGAACCTTGTCTCGACCTGGAAGCAAAGAATGGGGCCGAATCCTGCACATGCAGGAGATCTATGATCATAGGTTCATTGATTGGCATAGTACCTGAAACCCAGAGAATTCATGCAAGGTCATACAGCTTGGGGTATATACCCAAGGTCTGCAGCGGGATCAAGACTAAAATCTCAGAGCTCTTTTGAATACCTTCATGGAGTGAACCCTTGTTGGGAGGGAGGATGATTGATAGGAAATAATTCTAAACCAGCAAGAAGTCTCTTAGGTCTTTGACAAAAATATGTAGTATTTTTGTCATCAATTTAAAGTATAATAATTTCCATTATGATTTCTTTTTTGGCCCATAAGTTGTTTAACAGTGTTTCTTACTTTTCAAACATTTGGAGATTTTCTAGTTCTACTTTTGTTATAGGTTATATCTCATTTAATAGAATTGCAGTCAGAGAATACACTCTGTATGCTTTTACTAAAAATACAGGTATAGCAATTTGGTTTGTGCTCTAGCATATGGTTAATTATGTAAATTTTCCATGTGTGCTTAAAAAATAATGTATATTATGCATTAGTTGGGCATAGCATTTATGTGATACCATTTACATTAGTGTTCCAGTATGTTTTAGATGTATTTTTTATAAAAATATTTATTTGGCTGTTCTTTGTCACAGTTTTCGTCTTTCAATTTGAGTATGTGGTCTGTTTATTTTTGGTGTAATTACTAATTTTATTTGGGTTTAAATCTGCTATTCCTTGTGTTTTCTCTTTACATTGTCAGTTTTATGTTCCTTTTTTCCTACTTTCATATCTTTGGGGTTGATTAATTTAAAAATTATCCCATATTTCTTTCTCCTCTGTTAGCTCACTATTTACACATTGTCTTACTATTATTTTAGTAATCACTTTAGCGATTACAAACAACATAGGTTATTGACTTATCAAAGTCTAATATTAGCTGGTACTTTTACTTCTTTCTGAATAATAAAATAAACTTAGAAGACTTGAACTTCATTTATCTCTTCTTATATGTGTTTTTGTGGCTCTAATTATTTTTTCTAATTTTAAAAAATCTCCTGCCTTCTATCTAGAATTTTCTTTCAGCTTCAAAAATAATCTTTAGTGTTTCCTCTAGTGTGGGTTTGCTGTTTACAAATTCTCTTGGCTTTCGGTTGATTAAAAATATATTTATTCTTTATTCTTAAAGGAGAATTTCACTGAGTATAGAATTAAGTTGGTAGTTATTTTCTTTTAGCAATTAAAAGTTGTTCCACTATCTTTTGCCTTTCATTGTTTCTGTTGAAAAGTTATCTCTCAGGAATTCTTTTAAGATTTTTATATTTGTCTTTGGTTTTTAACAGCTTACCATGAAGTACTTAAGGATAGATTTTTTTTCCTATTGTGCCAGGCTTCTTGAATCCTTGGTTTTATATTTTTAATCAGTTGTAAGCATTTCTTAGCCATTACTTCTAATACGACTTTTACCCTACTCTCTCCTTTTGGAAGTCCGATTACAGATATGTTAGATCTATTTCCTGTATATTTTATGATTCTTACCCTTCCTTCTGTATTTTTAATCTTTTGTCTCTCCATGATCTATTTTGGTTAAGTGATTCTGACCTCTCTTCTGTTCACTAATTCTTTTTTTAGCTATGTCTAACCTGCTGTTAAACTTATATATCGAGTTATTATTTTCACTTATACTACTTTTCATTTCCCAAATCTCTGAGTCTTTCATCTTAATTTCCAGTTTTCTCTGAAATTTTGTCTTTTAGCCCCTTGAAAATAGTAAGCAGAGTTGCTTTTGAGTTACTGTAAGTCTTATATATATCTGGATCTTTCATGGATCTCTTTCAATTGCCTATTATTTTTGCTGGTTTTCCTTAATGTTGCCTGGTCTACTTGTGTGTTTGGTTTGTCATAATTTTGTGCCAAACAGTATTTATTAAATTGTTTACAGAAAGAATTTGGAGGTCTAGAACAGTGATAGCTTCCTGTACAGAAGACTTCTATTTATTTGTGCCTGGTCCTGCATACACTAGTGATCCAGAATCACCTCAGTCCAATTTATCAACTGAGAATGTTCAAAGCTGAGCTGCAATCCCTTCAAAGGCAGCTTACTTCTAATTCAGCCTTATTTCTATGTTTTACCCCTTGGGTTTCCAACCCAAAGAGATAGGGTGCCATAGGGCCCACTCTCGGTGGGCTCTAGACTGCAATCTGTGTCCACCCAGACCTCTGAGGTTGTTAAGAGACCTGCTGTCAACCACTTCCCCTCAAGATGTGGCAAATGCTTTCAGAGAAGTGTACCCTGATGCTAGCTTCCATCCTGCCCCAATATATGGCCTGGCAATTTTTCACTATCTCGTCATCCTTCTGTGCCTTCAAGCTGATATCTTTTATATTTTGTCCAGCTGTTTCTGATAGACTTTAGTGGAAGAGTTGGTTTTTATTATATAATTTGCCAGTACCAAAAGCAGAAGGTCTCCATCCTTGATTAAATTTTTAAAATTCTTTTTATTATAGAGAATTTTGAATGTATACAAAAATAGACTACAATAACCATATGGGTTACAGTAACCCATAACCCATTAATCTTTGGCAAATTCTGCCCTATCTACATTCCCGTCCACCTTCAGCCATTCTGTATTATTTTGAGGCAAATTCCAGATGTCACATCGATTCACCTATAAATATTTTGGTGTAGCCCTAAAAGATAAGGAAATTTTTTTAATCAAAAAATCATAAATATTTAAAAATAATAAAACTATTACCACATTTAAATAATAGCAATTCCTTTCTTTTTTAAAAAAATTTTTTATTTATTATTTGCTTAGGGGGAAGGTAATTACATTTATTTATTTACTTACTTTTTTATTCTAATGGAGGTACTGGGGATTGAACCCAGGACCTTGTGCATGCTAAGCATGTGCTCTCCCACTTAGCAATACCCTCCTCCCTCTAATAGGAATTTCTTAATATAAAAAGTCCAATGTTCAAATTACTTTGCTAATTTTAAATGTAATTTATTCAGCACTGAGCTCATGGAGTTACTTCGTTCCTGAATCTCTAATATAGAGATTCTCTAGCACAGTTGTAAAAGTCTTTTTTGATTTGGTGAGTAACCGGCCATAAAGCTCCTCTTTACCTACCTAAAGTCTACCTAATCTACAGTGCCTGCATTCAAGTCTCACTTTCTCCATGGAGCTTGCCTTGACCACCCCTCTGATTGCCTCAGCATTTATTATCTCTTCTCCCCCTGTGGCACTTGGCCACATTATCTTGAATAGTTTTTCATAATTATAAACTGTGGGAGGATAGGGACATGTGTACTGTATGTTTTGTGTGTCAAACTGAGTCCGCCATTTTGTGGGGCACATAGCACCTGTCTAACTCGGGAATTTTGTGCAGGCCAAATGAGGTAATGTATCAGGACTTTGCTTATAACCTGAATAGCAAACTGTAAGGAACCATTATTGTTATTCTTTGCATTGTTAGTGGAACCACTACATGAATTCTAGATTATAACCTGTGTTCCCAGGACCAGTCACAGTGCCTGACAGTAGGCTTCCAATAAATATTGGTTGATTTAATTTATTATCTGAATGAGTTAAGTCATACCCTCATTCTTGTCTATCAACTAATATGAAATAGAATGATAAAGTTAATTACCTACAGAGAAAGGTTAAGCTTTGCCAAACTTCTTATTTAATTTATTTTTTCTTCTTCACAAATCTGATAGGTTTATCTCAACATGTAGTTACCAACTATAAGCAAGTAATTCAACTCTTGGAGGAGGGAATAGCAAACAGGTAACAGGTTTGTTTGTCAATATCAGTCATTCTTCTAGTCCCATTCTTCTTTCCTGTGTTCTCATCCTCCTCTGCAGTGTGTACTTCTCTCTGCAGCTCTCCACATTCACAGTCAGGAGGCCTGTCTCAGAACAGTAATGTATCTCGGGTGAGGGCTAAGATTCAGTGCCCTTCTCACTAGTGCTGAAGCTGGAGTTTGTTCTGGATGTAGTAATACTAGGCAGTGTGCCCAGAGAATTACTCTATGCTTTGTCTTATAATACACTTCTACTGTTTTGGTCAAACAAAAGATTCTTGCCTGCATTGTCCTGTGCCTGAAAGAGATGATATAGTTTAATATATTTTATATAAAGTTTAAAATGTTTCAGAAAACCATTTTTCTTCTAGTTTTACATACTGTTAAGATTCCCCCAAAATGAATGTTTTGAACCTGCCATGAAAAACTAAGTGCCATACGCCCTCCTAAAAGCTATTTTAAATTATGATAATATTCCATATTTGTAGTTACTGTTAAATACCCAGAATGTTATTAATAGATGCCTGAAAAAAATAGCCTTTTTTACTTGAAAAAAATATGGAGGAATTTAGAGTATTCTATTTACCCTATTAATAGTAGGTCTCAGTTAATTGAACATAAAAGAAGAAATTTAAATGTAACATTCTACTTCTTGGGTTTCATGGAACTATCCTAGAGTCACTGCTTCCGGTCTTCACAGTACCCTGAGTTCCTTGATCCTTAAGTTTCAGGCTTCACCTTTCCTTTTTACCCCTGTATCATGAGACCAGCCTCTAGATTTTAACTCAGTTTTCTTCAATTCTGCAAATTCTCTGAAAACAGAAGTCAGTGAGTTGGTCTTAAACTGAAGCAAGTTGACTTAGTTTAGATGAAGGGAAGACTCTCCTGCCTTGAAGGGTTAATATTGGAATTAAATTTTTAAGGGAGACTATGAATTCCATCTGGCTTAAGCATGATATTGATGTAATTGAAGATCTCATTTTAAAGCCCTTTCTGGCACTATAAGATTAATACTCAGTGTTTAATCATGACTTACCTTCTCTGTCTTTTTGGCTTCTTTTTTTTTTTAATTAAAAATATTTTTTGGCAGTGAGGGTTCTTAGATTTATTTATTTATTTATATGAAGGTGCTGGGGATTGAACCCAGGACCTCATGCACGCTAGCACTCTACCACTGAGCTACACCCTCCCCACTGCGGCTTCTTCTCCAACAAGCTCTGTGTCCACTTGTCTTACTTAAATAGGTCTGACTGGAGGATATTCTTCCAGGTTGATGTTTTATTATCACCTTTTCATCTCTGATTATTAACGTCAATTGCTTGAAAAAGTTCTAACTGTGGTTTAGTATAAAGCTACACTCACTTTTGTTCTCAGATAGCAGTACCTAGAGCACCGCTTCTGCCCTCTTTGGACCACTCTCCTGACTGTAATGGGCTAAATATGTATGTTTTATGATTCTCACTTGTGAACCTCAGCACTAACATTCCTTGTGTTCTCCGTGGATTCATAAGGGCCCACCATGCATAAACAATCCTCGTCCTAATCTTCTTCCCTTAAATACACAGAATCACAGCGGCAACCCATGTTCATGAGGCCAGCAGCAGATCCCATGCCATCTTCACTATCTATTATACGCAGGTTGGTTTCTTATATTTGCTTAGATTTCTTCCTTCCCTTGCCCTATTTGACTTCTTTATTGTCTTCCCTTCTGCTTCTTTTTCTTTATTCCTACCCTTTCTTTTATAGGTCCTCTGATATGACCTAATATTATAAGTAGGACCTACACACAATCTACTAAGCTATTCACCCAGAAAACACAGGCATTTCATAAAGACTAACCAAGGATCTTCGACTTAAATTTTACTCTTAACATTTCAACATTTCAAAGTACTTTCGTATCTATATGATCAGTCTGGGCATTTAAAGTGAAAAGCCAGATTGAAATGAAAATAAGCATTAAAATGAAAAAGTAGAAGATTCACTTCCATTATGATGGAGTGAGAAGTTTTACAAATCCTACCCCCAAAAAGCAAGTATAAATCTAGACAAAACTGTCAAAACAACCATTTCTCTGCTCTAGAAATAGACCAAAGGCATATAATAAACCAAAAAATGTGTGTTCACGAGAACAGCAGAGTTGCAGGTGAGAACAGTGCAAATGTACGGTGTGTTCCCTTGGACTGCTCCCATCCCCACCCACGCCCCAGTCTTTGCTAGTGAGGTAGTTCAGTCAGAGAAGGGAAAGTGGTGAAAACCAGAAGCTCTGTTGGTACCACTGCTAAGGGAGTTTACTTGATTTGGAGCATCGTCAGTTAAAATGGTGATCTTGGTGGCAAGTTAACAAGGAGCTGGCTGGCTCCATTAGCCTGAAATTGTAGGTGTGTTTCAGGCAAGAAGTGAACTGAAAGATTATCTGGGGATTTAACAGGGAGTTCTGGGAGATGATGACCATAGGGGCTTGATAAGATCTTCACATATCCTAGGTTGAACAGAATCTGTACACACATGCAACAGAGACTAAGTGGGCTCAAACCCCCCATACAGCGCTGATTGACAGAATCTGCAGATATGGGCACACAAGAGGGCCCTGTGGCTAGTGAATGCTGGGGTAAACTTAGAATGGCCAGAACTTTTAGTGCATTCCTCAGCTCACACATAGATCCATCAGCAGAGAATAAAAGTCCTATTGGCTCAAGGTGTTTGATTGTGATTTCTGACCAATCCTTGGCTAAACATTAAGCTATGCAGACACAGGATGGCCCTCTGGAAACCAAGTTAAAATTAAAAACAACTAAAGGGAAAAAACGAAACAGAGACCTCTTTGGCTGCATGTTGTAGAAGAGACAGATTTCAGAGATTTAGTCCAGGCAAGTTACCACACAAACAAAACAACAACCACTGCTATCTTCAAGAGGAAAAGTCAGAATCCAGAGTTGTTAGAATGTTATCTAAAATGTCTAGTATTAGGCACATAAGAAAGTACAATCCATGCTTAGGAAAAAAAAATCAATCAATAGAAACTGACTCCAAGTGCTCCACATGTTGGATTTAGCATACAAAGACTTCCAAGCAGCTAATATAAATATGGTCAAAGAATTAACCAAAAACGTGATGTGACTCTAAGGAGTTTCAATGAAATGATAGAAATTATTTTAAAAGAAGGATTTCTGGAAATGTGCAATAATGGAAATGAAAAATTCACTAATGGTACTCAAGAGTTTTGAGATGGCAGGAGAATTAGTGAAGTTGAAGCTAGACTAATAGAAATCATGCAATTTGAAGAAGAGTGAGTTAAAAAATGGAAGAAAAGTGAACAGCACTGCACAGACCTGTGGGACGTCAGGTGTGTCAACATAAGTGTAATGGGAATCCCAGAAAGACAGAAGAGAAAATAGGCATAAGGAAAAATTGGAAAATAATGGCCAAAAACAATCACCAAATTTGGTGAAAAACCAATGTATACTTTGTTCAAAAATTAACTCAATCTGTATCATAGACAGTAATGTGAAACCTAAAACAATTAAACTTGTAGAAAATAACATGGGAAAACCTTTGTGACCTTGGATTAGACAAAAGTTTTTTAGATGTGGCACTAAAAACATAAAATGAACAAAAGAACAAATTGAAATTTGGAATTGGTCAAAATTTAAAACTTCTCTTTGAAAGACATTATTAAGAGAATAAAAATAAAAGCCACAGAAAGGGAGAATGTATTTGTAAAACATGTATCAGATAAAGGACTTGACTTTAGAATATATACAGAACTCTCTAAACTCAGTAATAATAAAACAACTCAAAAAATGAGCAGAAATTTTGGACTGATAACTGAAGAAAGTATACAGATGGCAATTAAGCACTTGAAAGGATACAAACATTAATTATTGGGGGAAGGCAAGTTTACACCAAATGAGCTATAACTACTACCCACCTTTTAAAATGGCTAAAATTAAGTTATTATACTAACTATTGGAGAGATGTATAAGAACTGGAGTTTTTATAGACCATACTACTAGTGGGAATGTAAAATGGTACAACAACTTTGGAAAAGAATTTAACAGTTTCTTAAAAATTAAACTTATACCCACTGTATGATCTAGCCATTGCACTCCTAGGTATTTTAGCAAGAGAATGAAATCGTGTGTGCATAAAAAGACTTATACACAAATATTCATAGTGGCTTTATTTGTAATTACTCAATACTGGAAACAACCCAGATGTCCATCAAGAGGTAAATGGATAAACAAGCCACTGTGTATTCATACAGTGGAATACTAGTCAGCAGTAAAAATGAACTTGTGACACATGCCTCAACCTGGATGCATTTCAGAATAACTATGCACAGTGAAAGAAGCCAGTTATTGTATGATTCAATTTGTATGAAATATCCTGAGAAGATACATTTATAGAGATGGAACATTGGTGAGTGGTGGCCTGGCGTCGGAGACAGGAATGGAGATTGATTGCAAACAGACTTGAGAGAATTTTGAGAGTTATTGGAAATGTTTTAAAACTGGATTTTGGTGATAGATGCACAACATTAAAATAAAACAACAACAACAACAAAAACATTGGATTAAAAAAAAAAAAGGAAAAGTTGTTTTACTCTTGAGAACTAGAGGCCCCTGGATAGAACAGAGAGGCAGAGTCCTGCCCAGCAAGTTAATGTGCTGTGACTCAGATGAACAAAAGACAAACCCCCAGAGAGGCCCCCCCACCTGCTCTGGATCCCTACTGTTGAGAGTCAGAGCCTCCTGGAGGGGGAGTCGAGCATTTACCTGGTAAATTGTGCTCAGGAGAAATCTTGGGCATTTATCCACGTACTCTGTGGAAGTTTTACTTATATTTGTAATGAAGAAAGGACCCAGGGCTTACTGATTATATCTGTTGGATATTGAGAACTCATCTGGTTCAGAACACATTAGAATACAGATTTCTAGAGTGAGTTGGCTAAAAATCCAAATATCACCTTGGTTAGGAGGGTGTTGATGGGGAAAAGACAACACATTGTTCCAAATGACAAGCTTTAAATGTATTTTCTCCCTTAGGCAATCCTGGAGAACAACCTCCCCTCTGAAATTGCTAGCAAGATCAACCTTGTGGACCTAGCAGGCAGGTAATTAGGATTTCAAAGCCAAGGGGAATTACTCCCTTGACAGTGACCTCCTTCTTGCCCATTTTACAGGGCATAAACTATTCCCAACCTCTTACACATTCCAGTCATCCTGAGAAAATTACAAAAGAAAGGAATTGTTTGAATGCTAGTTTTAGAAATTATAGTTTTCTAGGGGCTGAAAAGTCCTTTGTCAGGGGTTCTCAATCATAGCTGCCCATTAAAATCAGCTGGACCTTTTAGAACTCCCAATGCCTAGGCTGTACTTCAGATGAAATAAATCAGATTATTAGTGGAGTCAGGGAGCGTGCAGGCAGCATAGAGCCAAGGTTGAAAAACAGTGCTCTAAGTCGAGGTGACTGAGTTAGCATGCCTTTTTCCTTTGATCTAATATTGATTTTATGCATCTCTATACATGACTTAAAAAAAAAACTTTAAAAATACTGTGGCATTGGGGAGTAGGTACTGCTTCAAGTTTTAGAAGGAAACATGAATTGTACTCATTTACATGTCCAAAAAGAAGCTCTCGGGAATAATGTGGTCAGAAAAAAGTATAAGATGAAATAAGGCAAATTTTCATATTTTAAAACTGCTAAATAATTAATATGGTACAGCACTCCCTTGAAAGCTTAAGCGCTTCCCGGAAGAAACTTTATCAGCCATCTAGAAGTGTGAATTTTTAATATTTCCCATTTACTTAAATAAGGAATTTGAAATCGTTAATGACACAGATACCATAAAGCCATTAATATGTGAAATTAAAACAATAAAGAAAAGGGGAATTGCATATACCAAAAAGCTGTCCTAGTATCATGACTGTAAATAAGTATCACATTTTGCTAAAAGTGCTTCGGCAGCCAAAATAAAAACAGAAATGTAATGAGTTATTTTTATTGCCTAAGAAGCAGAAGAAAGCCAATTCATTACAAGATGGTAACTTTTTCTGGAACTGAATTCTAAAAGGAATTTATCATGTGGGTCTTTTACATAATATGCAACATAATGGACAGTGTCTTTCAACAGCATTGTTAGGATAGTGTCTTACTTGCTTGTGTTTTTGTTTTCATCAACTGTGTTTTAGTGAAAGAGCAGACCCCAGTTACTGTAAAGACCGGATTACGGAAGGAGCCAATATCAACAAATCTCTTGTGACTCTGGGAATTGTCATCTCCACCTTAGGTATTTTGCTGGTAGCCTGGATTATCAGAGTTCGGGGGACACTTTGGAAAATAAATTCATATTTTTTTGTTTTGTCAAAGTGAGATAGTAAAAGGTTCTTTTTGCTAAAGTTACCTTCTGGTTTGGGGCATGAAAAATTGATATTCATGGTTTTAGAATACAACATGACCATCACCCCAGCGATCTCATTTCAGAAATAAGGGAGACTAAGAGGTTGTATGGTTAAAAGATTTCATCTCTTGAGTCCAAAGTCCAGAGGGCCCACATTTAAAGCATCCTGTCATATGAAGAAAGGGATTAGGAAGTATGATGCTTAAGTCTGTGTTCTCCAACCTTTTTTTTTTTAAATACACTTGTTTCATACTTCCTTTTTTCTTCTGCTTTTACACTTTCATTGTTTTTTGTCTTTTAAGCCCAGAATTCTCAGGTATTCAGCTGCCAGAGCTTCAACAGCGCAGCCAGCAATGGTGGTGACAGTGGGGTCCCTAGCTCCCCTTCTGGGACCAGCAGTGGAGGGGGACCCTCCCGGAGGCGGTCGTACATCCCGTACCGGGACTCCGTTTTGACCTGGCTGCTGAAGGACAGCCTTGGAGGCAACTCCAGAACCATCATGGTTGCCAGTGAGTGGGGATGCCAGAGCTGGTTCTGTGTTGGGACTGGTGCTCTGCCTCAGAGAAAGGGCCATGGCCATTTCATCAAGGGTCCCATACAGCGTGAGCGATGGCAGCAAGGCAAGTGGTCATGGGCTGGGTCGGAAGGGCTTGGCGTGTTTTTTTAACTTTCTCCTTTACCTCAGCCGTGTCTCCTGCACACACTAGCTACAGTGAGACCATGAGCACGTTGAGATATGCATCCAATGCCAAAAACATCATCAACAAGCCACGAGTAAATGAGGTGAGACCTTCACCTGAAGTCCTGACTTCATGTAGTTGACAGGAAGTTCTCCTTTCTTTCTCTCATTGAGGTCTTTCTCATTGTACTCACTCCAGCTGCCAAACTTGTTCTCTCCGTGGTCAGAGAGTGAAATTCTTGCCACTCGAAGAAAGATGATTTTAAAGTTTCTGTTTTAACTGCTTTTATTCTGAGTTTATGTTGATGTATGCCTTTTTTTCCTATGCAAATTGCAGTGACTTTTCTGTTTTGGGCTTAAAGGAGCACATGAGAAGTTCTTTAGTTTTGAAAGCTGAATGATAATGAGAATATTCCCAAAGTTCCTTATCTGCTTTGCAATTTCAGTGAAAAGTTCCAGGACAGGGAATCACAAACTGGTGGCCAGACACACATAGCCCAGTATACATACCTTTGCATTTGTGTTCCCTGCCTGCCTTCCTGCTCTAGGACAGTGATTCTCAAACTTGAGTGTGTTTCAGGATCACTTGGAGGTTTTGTTAAACCACAGGTGGGTCCCAGCCCTCAAGAGTTTCTGACTTAATAGGTGTTGTTGAGGGACAGAATTTGCATTTCTGACAAGTACCTAGGTGAATTTGATGCTGGTCCCAGGACCACACTTTGAGAAGACTGCCCAGAAGTTACCCCAAAGGAGTAATCTGCTTCTTCCAAACTAATTGCATGTAGCATCTCACAGCCATTCCAGACCTGATATCAATCGGTGGTGACTGAGTTCTCTGTTTCAGGATGCGAACGTAAAGTTGATCAGAGAACTCAGGGAGGAGATAGGAAGACTGAAAGCCATGCTGCTGAGCTTCGAGTTGGTATGTGGGCAGTCAGGATTTTTCTGTGCTCAGGAGCCCCTTTTCTTCTGCAGAGGGTCTGAGTCCTGCTGCCCTCTGTGTTCTCAGTGAGGTGACACTTGTGGGGCAGGGGCAAGAGCAGAGACAGGACAGGGACTACTCTGATTACCTGTGTAGTTTCGGATGGAGTGGGCACCCTCTCACTCTATCTTCTTGGCTGTCCAAAGGGCGTTTGCCTGAGTGGCCCCTGTTCTCTATATGGGCAGATGAGGGGACGCGGCCCTCCAGAAGAAATTTCCTTGAATTCTCCTTTGTACCAATCTGAGCCCAAATTCTTGGGCTTCTGATTTGTTTCTGATTATAATTATAAAGTCTTTTCTTCACTTACATCTCGCCTTCCTTCACAAGAGTGAGGGTGGGACCCACAAAGCACATCTCTCTCTCTGTGCAGAGGAACTTCCGTTCATTGAATGAGGGAAAGGATGAAAACCTGAAGGAGTTGGTTCTCCAAAATGAATTGAAGGTGGGTGTCTTGAGGGGACTCTGTTGTGCTTTACATCACCTTAGGAACAGATCTGACCTTCCATTATTCCTGAGCCAGGACTGCTCCCTCGCCAGGATAGAGAGCTTCTGTCTGGAGACAGCTTTTGTCTCCGCTGAGCCTTGAGTTGGAGGATGTGTCTGTCTTAGGGCTGACGACTGGCTTTTTGACTGTTCTCTCAGGAGATCATAATTCCCTTGGGATAGTAACAGTACCCTAGAAAAAAATTATTTTCCAGTCAGTAGATCAACTGACTGACCTATATATTCATTGAGCACCAAAGAGGTGCTTAGCATGATGCTGTAGGAGATACAAAGAAGCCCCTGCCCTCCAGTGGCTTGCAGTCTAGTTGGAAACACATTTAAAGAATGGTTAGATGTCATAACTTATGTGAGTTAGACAAGAATTGCTTAGGAAGGAAGAAATCATAATGGCCTGGAATTTTCAGTGCTGGCATCAGTGCTGGAGTTGGAACTTGAACTGGACTTTGAAGGATGGATAGATTCTGTTAGACAGGGAGAAGGGTGAAGCATCAGGGTGAGAGAGGGTTAACATAAGCAAAGCCATGGAAGGGAGAGACTGGGCTGGTGTGAGTGGAAGCACAGGGCATGAGGAAGACTTAGCCGGCTGGTAGAGAGTAGTGGAGGGAAGGTTAGGGCCAGTTAGGAGGTTTGAACTTGACATAAGCAGGATGAATCATGGCTTCTTGAACCAAGTTGGTGACATACTAAAGAAGTATATTGGGGAAATAAGTATGACATTTGCGTATAGGATGAATTGGGGGCTCGAAGCAGAGAGACCAACAAGGAAAGAGACCCGCTGAGGATGAGGACAAGACATTTTGGAAGATTAAATTAAATGGTGATTCCCAGAGACATTTGAAAGGAAGAAGTGGCAGGCATTATTTGGTGACAGGTTAGATTTAGGTCTCACAAATGAATGTTCCAGTTTACAATATTCTACTTCATCATCCTGTACATTTTTAAAGTATCCTGGCTATGTCAGTATTCTGTTACCCAAACTAAACTTTAGGACCACATCACACACCCGGAAGTTTCTCAAAAATTTAGCTATATTTTGTTTAGCTATATTCTGATTTTTGGTTCAGAAAATATCATCCCTCTATATATAAGAAATGAAATAGGAGAGTTAAATTATTCCAGGCTTATTAGCATTTTTATGTTATACAGGCCGGCAGACCCGGACTTGAACCTGCCACTTGCTGGCCTTATGACCTTAGGCAGGTAGGGGTGGGTGATGAAGGCCGGCCACGGGGAGGTGTGTTTGGCAGTGCCCCTGCAGGGGCTGTGCCCAGCCGCCCACCTCTGCCAGGTCCCAGTCCAATCCAGCCCTTCAGGAGTACCCTGTAGTTTTCAAACTTCAATGCAGTGATTATAATATTAAAAAAGTTATTTCTAGGGTACATAAATTACTTGTACCTAAACTTTGCATGATTCTTTTTTCTTAAGTTTTCTCTTTGTGAAAGAAGGACTTAGCTGAATCCAGTTCTTTTTCCTGGGCCTCCTCAGTTCTTCCACTGCCAGGAGAGGCCTCCTGCATAAGCATCAATTTCCACCATAACAAGGAAAAAGAACCCTACATTCAACATTGTTCCTTCACATTTGCCCAGTAGTCTTAGCTTAAGGCCACTAATCCTGGGTATATTTATTTGTAAAACTGTTCCTGATCCATAGTAAGCCCTCAGTATTTTGTTTTTACTGTTATTATTTTATTACTGTGTGGTCTTTTGGACCAGTTTCATATAGTCTTCATTCTCCCTGGGAGAATTCCTCTCAGGGCTTTGTGGATCTCTGAGGTGCGTGCAAGCTTCTGTTACAGCTCAAGGCGCTGCCCCCTGGGAAAGAAGCTTTTGGTCACAAGAGGCGGCTCATGTAGGCGAGGACGGGGAGAGGGGAATTCAAACATGTCTGAACAACATTCCCAACTCATTTTTAAAAATAACGTTTATGGTGCTTTTTTCTAATTATAAAAACAAGGCCTGCTCATTGTAGAAAACTTTAAAAATAGCATTTACTGAGAGGGTTTCTATTTATGAAAGTAACACTTGATTACTGAGGAAAGCTTAGGAAACGTAGACAGCTCACCAAGGAGGTACAAGGGCCCATCTGGGGCCTGGAACAGTAACAGGGAGGAAAGTGAGGAAGTGATGCCGTGAAGAGTCAGGCAGGGTGGCATCGGACCCTCGGTCTGCTCTGTGCCGAGTGTCCACCACCACTTCCTCTGCCTCCGCAGATTGACCAGCTGACCAAAGACTGGACCCGGAAGTGGAACGAGTGGAAGGCCCTGGTGGAGCATTACAGAGTGGACATCAACAGGAGGAGGGCCGGGCTGGTCATCGACTCCAGCCTGCCGCACCTCATGGCCTTGGAAGACGACGTGCTCAGCACGGGTGTCGTGCTCTATCACCTCAAGGTGAGTGGGAGGGCGCCCCTCCCTGAGCTGCCAGCCCCACAGGTCAGGGAGGGAGCCATGCACCTGTGAACTGAGACGGAGGCCACAGAGTTGCCCCCAGGTGTGCCCTCGGGAGGCTGGGCCTGCCAGCCACAGCGGTGATCTGTTTTGCTTTTGTATGAACAGAGCAGAAGACCAGAAGTCAGAATAGTCGTTTGCTTTTCAGCTGCTCCTCCTGTTGCTCTTACTTTTGTTCTCTGTGCCTTCCTCATTTTAAAGGAAGAATGATGCTGCTTGCATTCCTTTTATGGCTTCGTGAAGCACAGGAGTGCAGCCATGGATGTGAAAACCTAACCTCAAAATCCCATCGGCACTCCCAAGCTCTCTCCACAAACACAGGCTGCGCACAGACAGCTTTCAGAGGCTAAAGGGGGTCCAAAGATCTGAAACAGTTTCCTTCCGACACTTGCCCACTTCATTCAACTCCCACCTCCCTATTACTTGGTTTACCTGGGAAAGAAGAAAGGAGAGAGGAAGTAGGTATAGGAAGCTTCAAGAAAGCGTGTGGGAGAGTCCAAAGAGCTGGCGGGTGGGCGAGGGGTGGCTGGGGCGTGACGTGCAGCCACCCCGAGAGAACAGAATGACGGACATGAAGCCCTTCCACAGGGACCTGGCTCCCCTGATTCTTTGTTACCAGGAGGCCAGGTCCTCATTTCTAAATGAAGCATTTTGAGAGTTAGTGACCCATGGTAGATAGAGTCAGATCCTGTCCTCATCAAAAAGGTTCGTCCTACTGTAGGACAGTCCCATGCATTGGCTGAACGTACTTTAGGTGGCCAGAATCCCTGTGCTCACTGAAAAGCCAATCTTCATTTTCATAATTATCCCCAGCTGACATTTAAAAGGGTCAGAGTTTAGGGGGATGTGTTATGTTGCTGTCATCCCTGGAGAAATTAGGCTGCAAATGATGCAGTGCGTGGGATAGTGAGATGTCAGCCAGGCTACTGTGTTTAGAAGCTCTGTGTTCTGAGGATAAGCCCTCAGGGAAGTTGTCAGAGACCAAGCCTCTAGGCAGAAAGTTAAAGTAGCTTATTTTTTGCAGTATAAATCATCTCAGTGAGCATGCCTCAGGCAGGAGTAGCTGTTACCTTAATAACCTAAACATCAAAGCCTGTCAATCCTTCCGTTAGTCAGAACCATGCGGACAGGTTGGAGGTCAGGAAGAAACCAGATGAATTAAAACACTCAGTATTTGGATAGAACTGATAGAGCGGCAAAGCTGGAAGTCAAGTAGCAGAGCTCAGGGTAGCAGCAGAGGTTGAAGGATGGTAATGGGACTGCGTTGCAGACACAGGTGGATGATGCTGGGGTGCTGGTGTCATTGCCGAGTCAGTGCACCGAGGGGGCACGCCCTCCTTCATGCATTTCTGGTGAACCTGAGGAATAAGGTTTCTAATCCTGGCATTTCTGCATTTTTTTTTTGTATGCCCATCTTTTGTTTGTTTAGATCCTGGTTTGGGGAGTAGTATAACAGTAGTCATTCAAGATTCTCTGTATTTTTATTTGCTAACTTAGTTCTAGACCTAGAACTAGTCCTTAGCAACAACCTGGAAGCTGTTTTGCTTTAGGTCACCTTGGGAAGCACCTTGGATGGGAAGGGAGGAGGCCGGTGCAGCACAGGTTACTGATATCCCAGACTCCATCCTCACACTCGCCCTTGTGCTGCTGCCTCTCCCCATAGAGAGGCATAAAGAGGCAGAGAGGGCAGCGGGCACAGGCTATGTGGTGAGTGAGTGAGAAGTGAGATGCCAGCATGGGTTTTGGTAGTTTCCGCCCTGCAGATCTAGAAGTTGTGATGTGCTGTGGCCTCTATCCCTTTGAGAGGAGTGTGCCTCGTCATCAGGGCTGACCCGAACCCGCACAAGCACTCCTGATTTGGTTGGCGGTGTCTGGAGACCAGCATCCACGGGCTTGTGCAATCCTCAGTGGCTGGGCAGGAAAGCCTGGACTCCGGCTGGTTGTGGGTGTGCGAGGGGAGTGGGGCACAGCGAGGCCAGAAAGCCCCGCTTTATTACTTCCTGGAGTCTTCCTTCTCATAGCAATTTTAGGGGAGCTGCAGGGACCTCCCTTCTGGCTGCTGCCAGTGAAACCTAGAGTAGAATGAACTCTCTGGTCGCTTGAGAAACATCCATCACTGGGGAGGTGGTTTGATGAGGTTGGAAAGTGTGGGTGCAGGACTCAGAGACCTGAATTCTATCCAGAATTCTCTTGTTCAGTATGGGGATGCCCTGGGTAGCTCATCCCCTGTCAGCTTCAGATTCCTCCCGTATAAAGGTAGGGTCATAATACCTACATTTTGGTTGTTAGAGGATTGAAGAAGAGCTGTCTGTAAAGCACTCAGCGCAGTGCCCAGGGCGTAGGGGGTGGTTATTCAATACGTGATAAGTATGTATCTAAACTCGCATCTGTGTTGCCGTGTTGCCGCCTCCCGCTAACAGAGCTGTGCGGTCTGACACGGCATTGCTGAAACCCAAGGGCCAAAGGCCTTGCCTTCTACTAACCCAGTGATTCACTGACACTAACTCGTTTCCCCCTCCTCTTTTCTACTCTCTTCCAGTCCTTTTTGATTCTAGATGTGCTTTTCTCCCTTTTGTGCTTTACTCTTCTTAGAATCTGGTGTCTGTTAAACTTCATCTGCGGACCAAAAAGGTAAAAATTCTGTGCTTCCATGTATCTTCATAGAATGCATGTCTCCTTGAGACTGGACCAAACTTGGACCACACTAACCTTAGCCCCTGGGAGAAAGCTATACCTGTCTGCCCACTTCCTCAGACTAGAGACTCTCTGACCAGTGGCTTAACTTCAGGCTACGGGACAGAAAGGAGTTTGCCAACACTCGTTGGACTTTGCAAAGAGCTGGTGCTGCTTTGTCATGTATTTTGTGCCTCCACCTTCTCGGGGGCTTCCTGGGCTGCAGAGTGAGTGGGCAGAGCAGTCAGAACAGCTTGGACCAATGTTGAGAAGTGGTGCAGGAAAGCAGGGGTGGGCGTGGGAAGACAGTGATGACACTCCAACAGGTGGACTCTCCTTTGGGGGCAGGACTGTCTCATTAAAACGGCTTGGTTTTTCCCTTTAGGAAGGGACGACAAAAATAGGAAGGATTGACTCAGATCAGGAACAGGACATTGGTGAGTGATGGAGCGTGTGGGTCTGACGTGCTGTCTCAAGTATTCATGTCTGACGGGTTTCTTCAGAGGAACCTGGTGATGCTCTGAGAGGAAGGAATCTTTGAAGTCTGAGGGGGTTTCTCCTCTAGAGCTGCCAGGTTGTGGATCTGGGACATGAAAGGAGGAGACCTACCCTGGGGGACAGTCCAGGTCTGGGCGGTTTCAGGTGGTGGCTCCTTCCTCTCTCGTCATGATGTGGGATCTTCCAGACGTGGATTCTGATCACATGGGAAGGAGGAAGGAGGTGTTTCCTTGAGCTGTGCCCCCACCTGGGTGACCCCCACCTCTTCTGTAGTCCTGCAGGGTCAGTGGATCGAGAGAGACCACTGCACCATTACCAGCGCCTGTGGGGTTGTTGTCCTGCGGCCTGCCCGCGGGGCCCGCTGCACCGTCAATGGTCGGGAGGTCACCGCCTCCTGCCGTCTGACCCAAGGTAGGACTGTCTGCAGCCCTGTTTATGCCAGGATAAGTGGTGGACCAGCCCCGTTCTCATGGGCCAGACCCAGAGAGCTCAGTGAGGCAGGCTTGACGGACCTCATTATCATGATTAGTGTCACTATCACTACCACCACTGCTAATCTATTCAAATTCTGTCTGTCCTTTGAGGCTGAGCCCAGATTCCCGGCCCCTCCACTAAGCAGTCCCTAAGTGCTCCACCTGGAGCTCATCTTGCTTTCCCTTGGCGTACCAGAGCTCTGACTCATCATTTCATTAATTCAATACATATGTTCTATAATATGCAACAAATACACGTTACTAACTCAGCTAAATTATCAGCTTATTGAGGGCAGGACTTTGTGTCACAGAACAGTGCCCTGCACATAACACGTACTCAGAACATGAGCTGGGATTGAATTCTCATTGGTCTCTGTGCCACAGGAGCAGTCATAACCCTGGGGAAAGCGCAGAAGTTCCGATTCAACCACCCAGCAGAGGCTGCCGTCCTTCGGCAGAGGAGGCAGGTGAGCAGGGTGTTTTCCACGTGGCTGCTGGCCTCCCCCTTTCTCCTGTCTTGGGGAGGAGTGGAGCTTTGTCTGGTTCTGCTGGGGTGGTGGTGATGATGGCAGCCTCACTGCGCTTCCCTCCCTGTCCCCAGGTTGGAGAGGCTGTTGGTGGCAGTGGCTCTTTGGAGTGGCTAGACTTGGATGGAGATGTCACTGCCTCCCGGTTGGGTCTCTCCCCTTTGCTTTGGAAGGAAAGGTGAGAAACAGCTTCTCAATCTGCTGTGGAACCTATTGGTTTTGCATCTTAATTCATTACAACATGGAGTGGGGATGAGATGAGTGTTGCAGCCAAGCTCTGAACGAGTCCTGATATGAACCAACTGGAACAAGTGCTCTGAGGATGCTGAGCTGGCCGCTCCGCTGATTGCTGGTCGGTGGGGAAGTGGTCCTGGCCCTCATTCATCTCCTCTTGGGTATTGCAGCTTTCTTCATCACTGAAAGAAGATACCATTTGATGTGTCCTGTGGCTACTTTCCTCTGTCGGCAGGATTTAAATGTGGTGTGTTTATGGGTATCTGTACTGTTGCCTCTGGACCTGCCTCCCTGTAAACCCCTGTAAGTTCTGGCCCACCTGTGTGTGAGCTTGGGTGTGTCATTAGCTCCCAGGACTGTGGCTTCCTCTGAGTTTTTAAAGTTGTGGGACTGAGAATCCTTTTCCCCTCATAACCAAGGGTCAAGAAGTACACATCAGAGGGGCAGGAACTCCAGGAACAATGTGAAAATATCTTGGGGTTCCGCCCTCTCCCACCCACTTCATCTGCCCGGTGACTGTGAAGTGTGGGGCCAGAGTTCTCTTCGTGATTTGTGGCAACTGCTTTTCTTCTTCAAACTCTTCATCCATTTGTGTGTGGAACTCCCCTCCCAGAGCTAGATGCCTTGTGGGCTGGATGCTGGAAACAGTGGTGTCCTCCTGTTCTGTAAGCCATAAGTGACTTCTGCCTTGGGGGCTTCCTGTAGAAAATGTAAACAGCAGACTCAGTGCCTGTGAGACCCCTGGTGTTGGGGGCTGTTCAACACCGTAAGCACAGGGCACTATGGTGGCCTTGGTCCCCTGCTTCCTTCACAGGGATCTGGACGCCCTTTCCTCAGGCCAGGAACATTTGATGGCAGCTGAACATAGTGTTGGATCAGACCTTGGTAGTGAGATGTCGGGTGAGGAGCAGAAGGGCTCTGATGCAGGGAGCACGGACAGCAAGCAGGTGCTCACAGGAGGGCTGCTAAGGGCTGAAGGACGAGGCATCAGAGTCTAAGGGAGGATAATCCTAGTGTCGGGTGCCTGGGGGCCCTGAGGGGTGACAGGATGGAGCATATCAAGGCCAAGGTGGACTCAGGACTGAGGCCAAGGCTCTTGTTTTGTCAGAGTGGCCTCCCTTTTCACAGTAAGATCATGAAAGGAGGCCTTGTTCTATTGGGAAGACACACTGAGGATATTTTTCCCAGAGTTCAGAGGTTTACAGAGAAAGGCTCTGCAACTTAAAGAGCTGCGGCTGTTGAAGAGATACATTGGAGTTGGATAAAGCTGCCTCACCCTCTGGCTCTATGACAGAAAGGCTGTGTGACCTTACGCAAGCTACTGAGTCTCTGAGCCTGTTTACTCACCTATAAGTAAGGATTCTACCGTATCTCTCCCAGGGGTCCTTGTGACACTGGTTGGAAGAGTGAGTACACATGGAGTGCTCTGCCCAACACCCCACGGGCCCCCTGCCTTGGAGGCTTTTGTGGGGAGCTGCCTGGGAAGACGGCCTCCCTTTTGCTTTCCTGTCTTCCCATCTCACCCCTGCTGACCCATCCATGCCAGAGAACACTGGTCTTCCCCCGCCTTTATAAAGTCTCCTTGGGCTCTCTAGCCCCATGGGCATGATCATGACCTTTCAGTAACATCAAGAATGCACCCTTTCATTCAGAGGACAGAGTGGGATTGGAGAAGCAGGCCTTTCCCTCTCGCTGCCTCCTCTTTTCAGCACCAGCTCTGAGAGCCTGTGGGCCGGGTGGTAGGTTGTGTGGGCTCAAGCCTGTGACTGGGCAGAGGGACGAGGAGAGAACGTGAGCGTGGGGAGCCCGGCACGTCGTCGGCAGGGCTCCAGTCTGGGCTTGTGGCCTTGGCTCTAGGACGTCTCTCATCTCTTGTCGGCTCCAAAGCCTCCCTGCGTCCTAGGCTTTCTTTCCCTTCTCTTTCTCTCTGGTGGGGAGCCTCAAAGCCAGAGCTGACTCCAGAGTCGGGGAAATGGGCCTGTTGGCCTCCTTTTCTCCTTGCGTCAGTGCTCTGGACCTGAGAGCAGTTTGTCCTTGAAAACTGTTTTTGGCCCGTGTTCTTGGCATTTTCCCATTTGGAAATTTGGGAGCTTAACCTTAAGTGCCTAGAGCCCGGGGTCGCTGTCACTGCTGCCACCCCCACCGCTGCCTCAGCCAGTAGGCGCTGCTGCATTTTGCTGCAGAAGCCAGCCGGCCCGGCTGCTGGAGGGCGCGAGGGAGGCCCGGCAGCAGCGGGGGTGCCAGAGCCACGCAGGGTGAAGGACACCACCTGAGAGAAGCAGAGATCCTTGGCTGGCAGGTAACTGAAGACTGGCCCTTGGTGATCTGCCCAGACGTGGAGCACAAGGTCCGCATTTTCTTTTTCACCTGCTCTCTGGGGACTTCGCTGATGTGCTTAGCGGTGGAGCCGCTTTCAGGCAGACGGCATGTAGCGTCTTGGGTGCGTGTGCAAGGTCTGTGGTGGTCCTCGCCGGGCTTGCTCCTGCTGTGGAGGGAGCTGCGTGGGGCCTTCAGAAGCTGATGGGCTGGCTGCTGATTTCCTGGGAGGGGAGGGAGGAGGAGCTGTCTTCTAGGGAGAAGCAGATTGTAAATCTGAGCGTGGGGGACAGGCAGAGGAGGAAGCTGAATCCTCTCAGGAAATTCAGAATAAAGGTCCGCTGCCTGCCCTGTGTATCTGATGGTCTGGATCTTAGCGGGGTCTGTCTGAGACCCTGTGATGGGCTTGTGTTTGTAATTCAGCCATATCTGTGGGAGACAAAACTTGGAGCAGCGATACAAGCATGGTACATATAAATGCATGTTTAAAATGTTTCCCACTAACTGCTCTTTCTATTCTTGCAGAGTTAACTGGCTTTTTATTCCAGTTGCCATCCCTAGCCTCTGCCCCACATGTATCGAAGGGCACCTTTCCTCTTTTCTGTACATCCCACTGTGTGTGTTTGGCCTTTTGCTCACAGCAGCCAGCGCCCGTCTGCCCCCGAGCACTCCCGCAGGAACCTGGGCCCGTCCTGGCCCTTGGACCCGCAGCAGATCGAGTCACCTCACAGCGTCCTTTCCAGAGAGGAGCCTGTCTTTGTGTCAGCTCCACCCACTCCCCCATCCATCTATTCACTCTCCCTCCTGTCCATCCTTCACTATCCTCCCAAGGCTACATTAAGAAATCTTAATTTCTTCTAGGGCAGTGGCAGCAAACTTTCTCTGAAGGGCGAGAGAGTATTTTAGGCTTTGTGGGCTGTGTAGCCCCTGCCGCAGCTGCTCAGCTCTGCCAGCGAGGCGCAGAAGCTGCCTAGACAAGATGCAAACCACGGTGTGGCTGTGTTCCAACAACTTTATTCACAGAAATAGGCAGCAGACCACTCTGGTCTGCAGCTGTAGTTTGGGGAGCTCTGCCTTGTTACCCTCTGATTTCATCTTGCTCTGCATAGTGGTAAAGCTCCGAAGCGGAGTGAAGCCCTTAGAGCATGCTGCTCAGACTGTTTGAGATCTGGTTCTAGGGTCAAGTCACTAGTGAGTCTCCAAGCCTGAGAGCCATGGCACCCTGGGGCTGGAACGAGGGCTGAAGGAAGGCTAAGCGAGGCCAGATTGGGCTTTTGTGTTAGCCTCTGGCAGACCCTGCCCCTTCCCTGGCGCTCCCATCTCGCCACCACCCCCAGCCGAGCGCCTATGCAGTGGGCTCCTTTAGAAACCTGAGTGACATGGATTGAGAGACCCCGCAGAAACAGCGTGGGAAGCCCTTGCCTAGAAGGCATGTGTGATCCAGGGAGAGGTTAGCACGTGGGGAGAAGCTGTTAGTCTTAAGAGGAAGGCTCTGACTCATCCATGGTTACACAGGAACCTGATGGCAGAGTAAAGCATGACTATAATCTAGATTTTGTTTTTCGGTGATGATGCCAGGGAATGAACCCAGGGGTTCTTGCAAACCAACAGAATCTTTTCAAATTTTGTACTATTGGAAAATTCCAAATACACTACAAATGATCAACTCGTGGCTAATCTTGTTTCATTTATATCCCCAACTCACATTCCCGAACTCCTCCCCACTGAATCTAAACAAATCCCGCACAATTTCACCAATAAACGCATCAGCATATATCTCTGAAAGGTAGCTTGTGTCCCTCGAGTGGAGGCCAGCTCTCCTCTGTGTCTCCTGCCACATGCACGGGTTGGTGTGCATCTGAGTTCTCTCTCCTTCGGGTTGGCTGCCTCCTCCCACCAGATCGAGAGGGTTTCTGCTTCAGAGAGTGGAGGGTAGTGTTTCCATTCCCACGATGTTTCTGGAGCTTCTGCTCTACTATAGTTACAACAGATTTTCAGCAGATAACCTTTTTATTCTTTTTTAAAGGACAGAGTTTCTTGATTTAGCTAAAATGTTTTATGTTTTAAAAACAGCTGCTTTACTTTCCTGGTTATTTTCCTTAACCAAAATGAAGTTGTGTTTCTGTTAAACTCCCAGTTTAAGAATATGCTAGGCTCAGGGCTGTTCTCCCCTCCCGCACTGTGACATCATGAGCTGCTGTGACACCGTGCCTGTGTGTCCAAGTTGCCAGAAGTCCACAGCCTCTCTGCCCTGACAAGTGAGGGCTCCCTGAGGGGGCAGAGGTGTGGACTGAGCTGGGTTTGCATTTCCCCCGGTAACCGCAGCCCCCCGTCACAGGAGGGTGCTGGGAGAGCAGAGTGACGGGGCCCGTCAGCCCCCAAGTGCTGGAGAGACACCCCCCAGGACCCAGGTTCAGCAGCAGCAGTGCTACGTGGGGGATCTGAGGCAGCGAATCGTAGCGGCACAGATTCGAGCCAGACAGACACCAGAACTGGACCGGACAAGCATCAGCTGGCGGATTAAAGACGGTAGGTGTCTGGTCTTCTTCCCTCTGTTTCACGCTGCCCCAGCCTTCTGTATTCTCTCCTTTGTTTTCTTTGTGATATAATGGAATCTTTGGTATTAGGGGTTCTCTCCCCTCTTTTAGAAACCAGAAGCTCTTACACAGGGCTGGAAGCAAGAATAAGGGAAGGACCTTCCTTACTACTGATCAGGGTGATGGTCCTCCTGCTCACTCCTTCGCACGCGCACACTTGTCCAGCCTCTGCTGCTGGCCCTGGTGTGTGCCCGCTGCCAAGCTGAGGCCTGGGCTTTCCTCCCCTTGCCCTGTGGTCAGGTGGCCCGGCACTCCTGTCTCGGAGGGTCCTGTAGCCCTCATCCCTCGGCATCATCCTGGCCAGCTTTTCATTCTGTGCAGATGCAGCTGTGGCCAGAGGTGTCTGAGTCCAGGTATCCAAGGGCAGGGAGGGAGGAGCTGACCTTCTATCAGGGTTTTTTTGGTTCCCAGATAAGCAGCGGCTGCTTGGAGAAGAGACCCGGCCATCTGGCTTGCAGCAGCAGCCACAGCAGGACCGTGGAGCAGAGAGAGAAGTTGAGGCTGCCGTGCCATCTGATTCATGGTGTCGGACAGACCCTGAGACCCAGCCGTCCTCCCTGGTCCAAAGCCGGAAGAGGACAGTGCAGCCACAGCTCCTGCGGAGACACACACTTAGGGTGGCAGAGCGCAGCTTCCGGCGAAGAAGGGTCTCGTTCCAGCTGGAGAGGATCGTCAAGAAGCAGAGGCTGCTGGAGGCCCACAGGAGACCGGAGCTGCTCAAGGCGCTGTGCCTGCTCCAGGATGGCCATCCCTGGAGGCTCCCTGGCCCTGGCACCCTGGTCCCAGGGCCTCAGTGTAGGAGCAGATTGACAAGTTACAGTTCTTTGAGCCTCCAAAGGCCGTGCGGCTGGCACTCACCCCAGCTACACAGGTACAGCCAGGGGGGCCCTGGAAGCTCTGGCTGAGGTTTACAACTGAGTTCCCAGCCAGCGATCTTTCCTTCCCAGGGCCTCAGTTTCCTCAGTCTGTGAAGTGGAAAGATGCTGTGTCTCCTCTTCCTTTCCTCATCCCTTTTCCCTCTTCTGATCACTTCCTTCTCTGTAGTTGATACCCTCTGAGACGCAGGCTTTTCCCTGCTCCTGCTCTGAGTGGTGGCTCTTGCTTCTTTGAGGATAGCTTCTGAATGACAACTCAGCCTCATTTTTCATCTGCTCTTTGGACCCTAACTCTCCACACACATCTCCTTGGTCCGTCCTGCCTCCACCTCCATCTCAAGTTGCTTCAAACTGGACTCCGTTCCCACAGCCTTCCTCCCTTCCCCTCTCACCCGGCCTGCCAGCTCCAGTGAGCTTCCCGCCCCACCTCCCAGGCTGAGCGAGAGCAGAGGACCCTCCTTCTGACTCCTGGGTTCAGTCTGGAATCTTCCTTGTTTCTTTCCTCCTTCTCTCCCCACCTTCAGTCAGGGTGAGGGTATGTTATCTCCCAGACTGCTTGGAGCAGAGGACTGTGCCTACGTTTTTATATCTTCCAGGCCTAGCACAGGGCCTTGCCCATAGTAGGTGCACAATTAATGTCTGTCATTGTTATATTTGCTCACCAGTCTGGTCTTCAGAGTACTGGCAGGCTTTTTTTGTTTGTTTTGGTTTGTTTGTTTGTTTGATTTATTTTTTAGTTGAAGTACAATTATTTTTTAACTTTTTTATGAAAAAATGTCCAACATACACAAGGTTGAGAGAATCATATACTCGTCTCCCACATTCAGCATTTATCAAGATTTCCCACGTGTGCTTCGTCTCCTTCCTTTTTCTGAAGTAAAGCAACTCCTAGACATCATGTCATTTCAATCCTACATCAAGTATTCACTTCTAAAAAATAGGTGCTTTTCTTATGACCACATTGTCATTATCACACCTAACAAAATTAAGATTAATTATTCGATATAATCAAAAAAACTAGGCCATATTCAAATTTGGCCTAATTGACTCAAAAATATCTATCTACAGTTAATTTAAATTAAGATCCAGTAGTATGTACACACTGCATGTGGTTATGTCTTCTCAGTTTCTTTTAATCTTTATTTTTGCTTTATTTTTATTTCTTCATATCATTTATTTGACATAGAAAGTGGGTCATTTCTGTACACTGCGCCCCTTTACAGATTTGTCTGTTTGATTCCTTGTTGTGCCATTTAAGTTGTTCTTCTGTTCCTCTTATTTCCTATTAACTGGAAGTTTTCCCTGAAGGTATGTTTAGATTCACATTCAGTTTAACTCTTTTATAAGGTAAAGAAAATGAGAAATGGAGTGTGCTCGCGGCTTCTTTGAGAGCCAGGACTGTAGTCCACAGGTTCCTTGTGTACCCAGAAGCTACAGGGGACAGTGGCATTGGCCTGGTCTTGAACCTCCTTCAGAGCAAACTAAGTGGGACTTCATACTCCCTCTGTCAGCAGGGAGTGGGGACTTCTTGCTCTTCTGAGATGGCTTTCCTTGTCTCCACAGCGTTTCCCTGAGTCTGGATACCTTCACCACGTCACCGCCTATGCCTGACCCCACTGACCAGTTATCAGAGAAAATCTCATCAGAAGAGTATTTGCCCCAAGCTACTTCTTACTCTCCAACGACAGGGCATTGCAGCAAACATGCCCTCTGCTCCTCAAGCAAGGGGCAGCTCTGCACAGCCAGGAAGGGAGCCTCAGCCCCAGGCACCTGCCTCAGCGTGAGTTCCGAGTCTGCCAGCGTCCAGGAGATGGAGAGAGTGGGTAAGCAGCCCTGGTGGATGGTGTCCCAGAATTTAGTATCTCTGGGCCAGTCAGCTAATGAACTGAAACCATGGGGCAAGCCAGAACCTTCTCTCTTCTCATTCCTTAGACCAGGAGGGCTAAGGGACTAACACCAGCAGGGTGGCAAAACGAAGGGAATCTTGGGACACATGAGGCTGCTGAGGGAGCCAGCTGCAGTTCCTCACATCCCTGTGGACCTACACAGGCAGCTGGGCGTGGAAACGAGGCCAGGACTTTCTGGGCCAGTCCACACCACCTTCTCCATGTGGGGGCATCCAAAAGGCAGCAGAGGGTCCTGGCAGTTAGGGTCAGAGACCAGGCCCAGAAGTCCTCTTGTTTGCCTCACGGCAGCCCTTTGAAGAAGCAACACAGTGCAGGGGACCCAGACACCATGGCCTCACTCATAGATTCCAGCCCAGTAGTGGATCATGTAAGAGAAAAAGGTGGTGGTTTACCTGACACAGATAGTGGTTACTCAGTGGATTCTCTCTCCTGTGTCTGTGCCCAAGCCTTCTCGGAGCCGCTGATTCCAGAGGGGCCCCAGGGGAAGAAGTGGGATCTTCCAGAGCCAGAGAACTCTGAAAGTGACGACAGCCAAATATCTGAGGACTCCCTGGCCGAGAAGGGGTGCCGAAGCCTGCGGGACAGCCCAGGGGACAGTTACCTCACCAGTGGCCATGGCCACCCAAGGGCCAGAGCTGGAGCCTCTGTGAGGGTCTTCACCACATCCTCAGACAGTGGACTGTTCACCCAGACTCAGAAAAGCTTTTCCCTTGACAGCCTGATTGATGCTGAGGAAGAACTCAGGGACCATCGACAAGAAGAGCCTTTCTTTGGTTCAGCTGACGAGATGCCCACAGAGACTTTCTGGCGCTTGCAGCCCTCCAGTCTGCCCGGTAGGGACCAGGAGGCAGCATGCAGGCTTGGTGCCATCAAGCACAGGACAGGAGCCAGGCTGGATGCCATCCTGCCAGTGAGCAGTTCATTTTACCTGGATCCACAGCCCCGCTGTGAGCAGCCTGAGCTGGCGGTGGAGGCAAACTCCTCTGAACAAGCGCCTGCTGTCCAAGACGTGCAGCTTTCAAGAGGGAGCCCTCTGGTGTCTGTGGATTCCTGGTTTTCCTGTGACTCCAAGATCAATCCCAGCAGCCCCTCAGATTCTTTATGTCCGAGTCCTAATGTCCAGGATTTTCAGCCTTGTGGTTGGAAGAGGCCTGGATACTGGCTAAACACGGGAGAACCAAAGTCATCGGGTACAGAAACAGCTCCATCGTATAGCTCCAAACTGCCTCAGGGTGGTGCTGAGCTGCCCTGCAGCGTCAGAGGTGTGCACGCAATCCCTGCTTCTGATATGACCAGGCTGTCACTCTGGGGCCCTTACAGGCTTCTCCAGTCAGGAGCTGATGGCACCTTTCAGGCCAGAGGTGTCCCTGACGCGGCCCAGCAGGGCGTCTCTGAAGCTTCCGACTCTAGCGTGTCGAGCTTGTTGGCTGCCTCTGCCAGCTCATTCACTTACATCGGCAGTGCTGGTGAGAGAGACTGGGCCGCCCTTCAGCAAAAGTACCTTCTTGAACTGTCTCATCCTGCTTTGGAGGCCACAGGAGAGCCCAGGTCAGCTTTTGCCTCCCTCGAAAGAGACTCTGGTTCCCTGACCCAGGCTTCTGACAAGGGAGGAGATGCTCTATTGCCAGTTGGTTCTGGGATACCTAGGAGTCTGGACTTCAGCAGCTTTCCTAGTCATCTATCCAAAATTAAGCGTTTGAGAGCAGAGAAAGAACAGGACAGTTTGAGTGTCGAGGTAGAAGGCACTTCAGATTTTTTTACAGCTAGTGAGAAGGTGAGTTGTAGTGGAACTTACTCGGCAGATGTAGAATCCTCAGCTTCTGGAATGACACACGCGCAGGCCTCCGCAGCAGAGAACAAGTCGGTGCATCCCATGAGGGAAGCACCTGAAGTCAAAGAGAACAGCTTGGAAGAGTCCTCTCAGAGTAGCCAGAAACCTGAACTGATGACGTCCTCTGATGAATGTTTCTTTCTGAAGAGCCCTTGTCACAGTGTTGTCACCATGGCCACCAAAGACCGCCATCAGCCCCGAGGCAGGGCTCCCTTCAGGAGGAGCAGTGCAGACCAGGCGGGGCAATCAGGTCAGAGCAGCCAGTACCCCCCACAGGAAGAGAGCAGAGACTCCCAGGAGAGCTCCCAGGAAGCGGTGGGAAGGCACAGCAGTCTTCCCTTTGCCTTGCCGTCGGGTCCCGAGCTGTACCTCCACTCTGCTCCCTGGAACCCACTCCCGTCTTCCCTTGCAGCCACCTCCCTTGGAAACATTCTATGTGACCAAGAGCCGGGATGCCCTGACGGAAACTGCCTTGGAGATCCCGGCTTGCAGAGAAGCGAGAATGCCTTCCCCGCCCCCCAGAGAAGCCTGGGGCTTTGGGCCCAACCACCGAGTCATCCAGAATGTCTCTGTGAAGAATAAACTGCCAGTGCCATCACACAACCAGAATTCCAAGATGGTCCCATCTCAGCAGGGGACAGCAGAGAGGCCAGTTGTTCAGAACACCGGGGAGGTTAGTCAAGAAAAGTGGAAACGCCCTGGAAATGTTAAAGAAGAAAACCTTAATTCAGTTTATTTTTTTGTCACTCAGAACAGACATTTTCTTCCCTCTACCAGTGTAAAAGTATGTGAATTTGAAAATCAAGTTGGAATTTTAAATAAACACAGTCTTCCAACACTCAGGCAGGGAGAAAAGGCCTCTGTACAGTCCTCCTGCGGGGTCTGCTCAGACAGTGCTGGGTCTGGGGAGCCTCTCCTTGTGTGTGAACCTGAGACAGGTGGGGAAGAAGAGCAGGGGCAGAGTGCAGCCCTCAGACAGACCCAGGCCTTTGACACGAAGGGACAGTTTCATTCTGGGATCAGGTCTGAGTTCATCTATAAAACCATCAGTTTAGGCCCTGACAAGGACGTGCTAGGGGAGGCTGCTCCTTCTTTGAAGCCCAGACTGGTACATCACAGAGTAAGCAGCCCAGAGACAGCGGCCCAGGAGGAGAGTCCGACCCACGAGGGAGAAGGGAGGAATGAAACTGGGCTTCTTGGAAAAGCTCTCCGTCCCAAAGATGGCTCAGAAGAGTTTAAGTTTCCACAGACAGAGTCTACATGTGGAAGAGTCCAGTCAGTTACATGCTCTCAAGAAAGAAGCCACAGTGAAAGCAAGGTCCCTGGAAAGGCACAAGAAATGTTCAACTCCAGAGAAGCACCTTCTGGAAAGAAGTGGAATAAAAGAGGTAATAATGCTGATGAAATGGCTAAGCTAATTAAGAGTGTAGTGCAGCTGGAAAATGGCATCTTGGAAATTGAATCCAAGCAGAGTAAGCAGCTCTGTGCTTCCCACACACTGGGAGTCAGTAAAGAGTTTGTGTTCCAGGACCCGCAGGACCGGGAGAGGGCTGACTGTGTGCTGAGGGCAGGCAGTTCTGGAAATCACGTATCCTTCAAGGATCAGCTCTCTTCTCCCAGACAGACAGATGATGTTATCTTTAGGGATGAGGAAGCTGGAGAAATGGAGGTTAACAGTAGCATTGGGAAGGATCCCCAGGTCCAGAAAATCACCCTGAGCCCGTTCAAGTTGAGGGAACGTGTACACAACATCAAGTTTGTGAGAGGGCACACCTACCCAGCTGTGTTAGACAGACCTGCCAGGGACACTGGTGAGTTTTTAGGGGCATGTATGGCTTGCACCAACACCTCTGTTAATCCAGGGAGAACGAAAGCATTGGCTGGAGCTCTGTCACTGCAGCCCAGGCCTGAGATGTCTGCTGAGGAGGGTGAGCTGCTGAATGCAGTGCCCCCCCGAGGGCAGCCCTGGGACTTGGGAAGTCTTGAGGAGCTGGAGACTGTAAAAGGGTTTCAGGAAAGCCAACTGGCCAAACGCATGCGTAGTTCTAAGCAAGAGGAGACAAAAGTTCAAGGCAGAGTTGAAGAAATGGCTGTGCAAAGAGGGGGCCTACAGGAAGAAGACAAAGTGGTCTCAGGGACTCAGAAAGTCCCTGGTTCATGCCAGCGTTGTGTGAGCATGTCTTTTAGCCAAGAGAGTGGCCCGTTGTGGGGCCAGCCAGACTCCTGTGTGGCTCCTCACCAAGACCTGGGTAATACGTTCCCCTTGAATTTTCCAGGGCTGCCAGAAAGCTACCTTCATACCCCTAATACTGTAGACATCTCTTCCGTTGACTGTGTGCTGGACCCCATGAAGTTGAAAATGCCCAGCAGCCCCTCAGTAACTGGAGCAGGGTGTCAGGACCAGCGTGGAGAGCCCAGAAGCCACGGCCTGCAGGGAGAAGTTAGAGGGGGCTCCCCTGTGGCACACACTGGTTGGTGTGGGTCTGTGATACCCACGGCCATGGCATCTCACGGTCAATCCAGTGCACCAGGGAGCATTCCCCAGGGGACCGAGGGCAGGAGGTCAGCAAGCACCAGTCCCCAACACCACACAGGGGACCTCAGAAGCACCTCCACGGACTTGAGTAGCAGGGTGAGTTTTCCTTCCGAAGCCAAGGCATCCATACAAAGAGGAACGGGAAGAGCCAGTTCCCAGAACAGGGCTTCTAGCCCATTTGAAAGGAAGGCTAGCTACCTCTTAGAAGAGCGGAACAGCCGAGACAGGGAGGTGAGGCCGAAGGCAGAGGAGGAGGCCAAGGACCTCAGTCCTGCCAGCGGTGCATTCTCAGCACCTGTGTCCCTGCCAAGGGTGCCTCAGCCGGAGCCCTCTGCCTATCCACCCACGTGCCAGGCTGTGTCGGAGGGGATGGGACAGGCAGAGACCCAAGGGAAGCAGCTTCAGGACTTGGCGGCTGGGGGCACAGTTCTTCGCTACGATGAGACTTCATTAGAGGCTGAAAGTTCTTCACGGGCCCCAAGCAGGCCTCAGTGTCCACAAGTGGGCCAGCCAGTGTCAGACAGGACCAGAAATGAGGGTGAAGCACAGGGAAATCATGTGGCATCTCTCTCTCCTGAACCAGGACACCTGTCAATTGATGAGAGGACATCTGTCCTTCAGGCCACACTCCCCTCTGCAGACAGCTTTCACCCTCAGCCTGACAATAACACAGGGCCACAGTGTCCCTCAAAGACTTCTTCCCACGCTGCCCCTGCTCTAGGTAAAAGCCATTGCACCGGAAAGCTGAGACATTTCCTGGGAGCAAGTGAACAGTTTCTCTGTCACTCCAGCTCTTCTGATGTCATAGAGAAAAGGAAAGAAGCAACCAGAAGAACACCTTCCTCTGCTGATCCTTTGGGCTCAGACCGGCTTCCTTCTCCTGCAGCTGTGGAGGAGGACAGGAAGGTCACAGCAGAGGAAGTAGTGGCAGCCTTACCTTCTCAGGCCCCTTTTGATGATCCTGGAGGGATTCCACGTGGGCGAGGCCAGTTTGCTGCATGGGAGGCTGCCGAGAATGTGCCCCCGGCCAGTCAGGAGAGAAGCCCTGCCCACCAAGAACCTGGAACTCTGGACAACACAGGTTCAGGTAACTTTCTAGAGGCTGCACAAGGAGGAAAAACAACCTGTTTTGAAAGTCAGCTTTTGATCTGTGATGTTGAGAATTCTGCCTGCCTCTCAGGGCCTAACCAAGACCAGGTCCAGTGCCTTGAAGCTTCTGCCAGCTTAGAAGAAGGGAGGGCAAGTCCCAGACAGGGTACTGTCCTCCCTGGAGCCCTGAGAAGGGTTGAACTGGAAGCTCCTTCGCAGCAGCACGTGAAGCGGGAGACGAGTGTTGGCTCTGGGCCAGCAGAAGCCTGCAGAGCTGGCAGTGAAGGTCCCAGGCCAGCTGCACCGCCAGATCGTAGACCCACGCAAGTTAGAGAGGAGGTCCCACGCAGATGCCCGCAGGAAATTTCAGGTTGTGTTGCCTCTTGGGGAAGCATTGAAGGTAGCAGGACCCTAAGGCCGTCAGGGGGCCAAGAAGACAGCGAAACTCATTCTTGCCGGCAGCCGTGTGACCCTCAACCCATTGCTCCCCACGCTCATTCCTCTCCTTCCATGCCTGTTCCTCCCTTTCCTTGCAGAGGTGGTGACCTGGGCAAGGGGACTTCCAAGGCTGCCCCACACACTTGCCATCCACCCTGCATGGTAGCCTCCAGGGCCAGGGTAATGGATGAGAGAGGAGAGAGCCATTCCAGGGAGCCTGATATGCTCTTGGCACGTGGCCTTGAGCCCAAAGGCATCAATGTGGAATTGAGGCCAGCAGATGGCGACCCTCCAGAGCCCTCCATTGCTGCTGCTGTCCTACCTCTGGCTCAAGGTGGCCACTCCCTTTCTGCCCCTGATGGGAAGACAAGTTCCCTCAGCCACTTGGTTGCTGATAAAAGGTCTGTAGGGGATCCTGAGAAAACATTTGCTGAGAAGAAAGCCGGTATGGAGCTTGAGGCCTCTCCTTTCCTCACAAGCAGGTGCTCTGAGCCACCCAGGAGGTTTCAAGACAGCTCTGCTGGTGGCCAGAGAGCACAGGGCTCTCAGCCTAAGCCAGGACCACCTGCGACAGCTGGCAGACCACACACCCTGAATTTAAGTGAAGGGTCTGTTGAGCATGAGCTGCTGATGGGACCCCAAGATGGCACAAATGCCATCAGATGCCTTCCAGAAAAGTCACAACGTTCCTCTGAGTCCAGGGATCACAGTGGCTTGGATCCTCAAGCCAAATTTGTAGCAAAGTTAAAGTACATCTCCAGTCCCTGGGTTGACAGTCCTTGGGAGGAGGAAGAGCAACAGAGAGACCAGGCTTCAGGTGGGGGTGAAGACCCTATCCAGGGCAGCAGCCCCCTACACACTGATGAAGGTTGCTTGGGCAGCTGTCAGATAAGAGGTGCGGGTGGAGAGGAGATGGCTGTGCCCAGGCCCACTGTGTCCAAGACGTTCTCATCAGGCTTTGGAGACTCAGCCACTGTTCACCTGGAGCACCGTGGAGCACGTGGGCCTGCGGCCCAGGGCTCTGGGCCGCCCTCCCCTGGCGGAGAGCAGCTGGAGCCTCACCATCGGCGCTCGCTTCCCGTGATTGCAATCTCTGGGCCCAGACACTGTGGACCACAGTTCTCTGTGGTCAGCTCTTCCCGGTCCCTTCAGGAGCTGAACGTGAGCGTGGAGCCTCCTTCACCCACAGATGAGAAGATACAGGAGCCTCGGAGACTGTGGACCCCACATCCTGGGGGCTCTTCCTCAGGGAAGTCAGTAGTGAGACCATCTCTGAAAGCTGAGGGCTGCGATCAGGAGGCCTCACCTGATTTGGGCGATAGAGCTGCTGACCCCAGGCGCCTGCAATCCGCCCCGACTCCGGACCCTCCAACTTCAGCTCTCTCGTGCATGCCAACCCCTGATCTCATGGCCTCTCTGGAACAGGCCCAGCAGGGAAAGCCAGAGAGACTGGGTGGCCAGGCCAGGCCAGAGGAGCCTCAGTCTGAGGCAGGCGGAGGAGCACTACCCTCCGGCTCCAGCGGCATCGATCCCTGTGTCCTGCCCTGGCGTCCGGAGGGGCCTGTGCGCATCGGCTGGAAGCAGTATGGGTTTGGCAGTGCAGTCGATGCCTCTCGTGGCCACACATCCCAGGGCCTGATACCACCCAGTGTGGCCCGGAGTTCCAGTGTCGACGAGGGCTTAGAAGACCAGAACTCCCCATTGCGCTCCCACAGCGGCACCTATGCGAATGCCCGGGGCCTGTTGAGCACATGCAGCAGCATCCAAGAAGCCCAAGGTTCTCATGAGCCCTGGGAAGTATGGGGTTCCTCATTTGCCCTGGGGACCCCCCACATCCTGCTCAGCTCTGAAGGAGCAGCCCCCACTCACGGTCCTGACAGGAGAGCTCAGTTCCCGGGTACCCCTGATGAAGCGAGCGGTCTGAGGAGGGAGCCCCCCCGGGCTGAAGGAAGTGCTGCAGGCCCAGTGGATGAGATTATGCTGCTGTATCCGGCAGAGGCGGGCGACCCTGCGGGACAACCCAGGATGAGCACCTTGGAGCAGGGCACACAGACCCCGGGCTGCCGGCCCTGCTGGAGCTACACTGACATCTCCTCTGCTCAGTCGGACCTGGCCTCCTGGGCCAGCATGCACAACCTGTCTCTCCACCTCTCGCAGCTCCTGCACAGCACCTCAGAGCTGTTGGGGAGTCTCTCTCAGCCAAGCGTGGCTGAAAAGGAGCGGAATGCCAAGAGAGAGACCCCAGGTGAGGCGCCCCAGGCCCTTATGATGGATGGCTGCACTCAGACCACCACGGATGAGGCCGTCCAGACTGACCGGGCCTCACTACCTCTGCACCTCCAGGCCCCAGAGGCCAACCCTCAGAAGATCAGTGTGGTCCTTGACAGGCTGGGCTCAGATATGTCTGGCATGTCCCAGAAACAGAGACATGTCCCAGGGACACTTCAGAAGAGGAAGACAGAGGAAACAGGATGGAAAACAACAGGGCCCCTCGATCTTCAGGACGAAAGCACCCACTGCCGGCCCCGGAGCCTTCCAGTACCGTCACCCCACTTGAGTTTTCAGAAAGTCCCCTTTGGGCAGAACCTGCTTTCTGTGAGCCCCCAGCCTTCTCCTGATGCCTCCCTGCCTCCCGGCCCCTGGCTAGAGGAACCCTCCTGCCTGGCTGTCAGCAGCCCCGGTCTCAGCACATCTCTCTCCCCAGGGCCCTGCCCCGACACTGCAGAATTCTTTAGGAAACCGAGGGTCCAGAAAGCACAGAGGCTCACTAGTGCCTTGCTGGTGGACAGGGCCTCCTCCCCGATCCTCACACTTAGTGCCAGCCCCCAGGGGTCGGGGCTTCCCCCAGGTGCTTTATTTCTCTCGGCCCCCCCAGCCCTTTCCCTCGAAGGCCAAAGGATCCACATCTCCAGCCCAGGCCTTCCCCTTTGTGCCCCCAGGCCTCCAGTGGGTCATTATTCTCACACCACTGATGAATCAGGTAGCTCCCAGAGACTGGGGGCTCCCTGTGGAGAAGGCAGAAGTTCCTTAGAAGGAGGTGATCGCAGGTCCTTCCTTGAGGCGAGCTCCTCAGGCAGCCCACAGCAGAGCACAAAACTCCAAGTTCGTTTTGTTGAGCAGCCCCTGCAGCGGCGTCAGCCCAGGACCACCACCAGGGTCCAGAGCAGGCCGCTGCCTCCAGCACCGAGAAGCAGGAACCAGAGGGGGGCCGATGGCTTCATGCCTGAGGACATGGCCTCCCTGGCGTGTGACCCACTGAGCAGCAGAGGACCGAGTCAACGGCAGAGCAGGACAGAGAGTGGAGGCGAGAGCTCAGCATCTCCAAAGCCACCGCTGCCCACTCTGGACATTCCCTCTTCACAGGGAGGCCCCCAGTGCCGCAGTCCCTGCCCTTTCTTTGAGTTGACTGAGGCCCCGGGGCTGCAGGGTTGCATACTGGGCCTGACTGAGGCCTGCCAGCCTGAGGGGCTGCTGCGTCCAAGTTCCCAGATGTGCACGGCCCCTGAGCCCCAGCTTCATAGCCTGGGGGACCTCCCGGTACATAACAAGTTTAGTGACTGGTGTGGGGTTCAGGATGGCTCTCCTGGGGGTCTAGGTGTGATGGATTTGCCAGGGGCCAGATGTGATTGCAGCTCTGGAGAGCAGGGACAGAGGCCCCCAGAACCTCCTGCCGACCAGAGCCAGGCTCCTGAGTGGTCCCAGAGGGAGCAGATCCCCCTGCAAGTTGGGGCCCAGAACCTCTCGCTCAGCGTGGAGCTCACAGAAGCAAAACTGCACCACGGCTTCGGGGAGGCAGACGCCCTGCTGCAGGTGCTCCAGAGCGGGACCGGGGAGGCGCTCGCCACTGAGGAGCCTGAGCCGCACCCCCAGGGGGAGCTGTACGCCTGGTGAGCCCCTAGCCTGGAGTGGGCGGCAAGGGAGGAGGGTGTGGAGAAGAAAAAGAACCCAGAAGGCTAACAGCTGGCTGTTCCCTCAGCCCTGGATCTGCCATTGGTCAGAGATAGATCTTAAGGAGAAGGGCATTCAGGGCCAGCTTCAGCGACTCAGTCACGTTTATTCTCAGGCCAAAACAAACCCTGGAGAACCTCCGGAGAGAACGAGCTGAGCGACTTCAGAACTTCCGCCGGGCGCGAAGCCTCAGCCCTCAGAAACAGCTGAGCTTCCCGTCTAGCCGGGATCTCCCCACCCGGGACCTGGGCTTACCCAGCAGGCGCCGAGAATACCTGCAGCAGCTGAGGAGGGATGTTGTGGAGACCACCAGGTATGGGGACCCCGGACCCCGCGGGGAGCAGGCACTGCGTGGGGCGAGAGCGTCGTGGGGAGCAGGACCTGGATTTTAGCGTCCTGCAGAACAGAGGCTGCAGCTTCCTTCACCAGGAGCGATTCCAGGACTGGGTCCTAACATGCCTGTGGACAGTCGGAGGCGGTTGTGGAGACTGAGGCAAAGGGAAAGGAGGATGTTGGGAGGGAGCAGTGGGGAGATGGCTGGGCAGAGGGCGTGTGATGTGCTATGTTATACTTAGGCCTGAGCCTCGGGATGGATGTAAAACCAAACATGACCCTCTGGGCAGAGAGAGGGTGGGTCCTTCAAGAGAGTGGTGTTGAGCCGACCCGGGGTGAGCAGGCCAGGGCCATCACCCACCCACCTCGTTAGAAGGCATCTCTCCACCCCTATGGTTTTCCCCAGGAGCCCAGGGTCAGCGTCAAGGTCTGCTCACCCGCCCTCTGACATAGAGCTGATGCTACAAGAATACCAGCGGGCCCGCGAGGAGGCCAAGGTGGAGATTGCCCGGGCCCGGGACCGACTGCGGGAGCGGACTGAACAGGAAAAGCTGCGAATCCGCCAGCAGATCATCTCCCAGCTGCTGAGGGTGGGAAGGGGGCAAGCCTCTGATTTCAGGGTAGGCCTGGAGCTGGGCCAGACCTCTGACTGGGTCTGCCATCACTGGGGCTGCCTCTGAGTCTTAGAACGTAGCATTTGGAGGGGGCATCAGAACCCTAGTGCCAGCTCAGAGCTGTGCTCTTTCCACATCATCCATCATCCTCATCAGACCAGCTCCTGTTCCTGGGCCAGGGTCTGGGAGGAGGCAGCTTTGCTATATAGTTGGGGTGGGAGGTAGGGGAGGCCTGAGGGAGTAAGGCTGAGGCAAGAGGCACTGGGAGGGGATGAGAGCTGGGGAGATGAGAAGGGGTGTTTTCCAGGGTGATGAGTCGTGGGTGGTGAGGGTGCACCTGAGGCTGGCTGACAGTGATCTGTCCTTCCCAGGAAGAGGAAAAGCTTAATACCCTGGCTACCTCCAGCTCCCGGTGCACCAGCTCCGATGGAAGCCTCTCCTCTGGTGTCACCTCTGGCTACAACAGCAGCCCAGCCTTGCCAGGCCATCTCCAGTCCCCAGACAGTGTGGTGAGTAGGCACATGTGAGACACGAACCAGGTGCCAGGACCACTGTGGCAAGAGTTTGGGAGGAGGTTCTACCTCCCGGAGGCCACTGCTGACATGAGTCAGTCTCTTGCACGATGGCCTTTGGTCTTCCCTGTGGTTTTTGTCTCCCTCTCCCTGTTTATTCATTCATTCAACAAGTATTTATTTCACAGGCACTATCTTAGGCACTGAGCAAAACTGTTCATGTCCTTAAACACATTATTAGAGGGATAAATATTAAACGGCTTATTTTATGATTATTTCATTATTGTTGCAGTGAGTTCTGTGAAGAAGGGGTGCTAAGCTAGCATGAAATGGGGGACCTGGCCCGGTCTGTAGGGTCAGCACAGGTGCTCTGAAGAGAGTGTTTAACCTGAGATTGGAAGGTTGAGAGGTAGTTAACTCAGTAAAAGTTGGTGTTGGGATATACATAGCGGGCAGAAGAGCCTTCCAGGCAGAGGGCCCAGCAAGTGAGGCTTTGAGGGAGAAGGTGTTTGAGGAACTGAAAGAAGGTTTGTGTGGCTGGAATGTAAAGAGTGAGACAGGAGAATCACACGAGAAAGGACTAGAAAAGGCAAGGTCACGTCTATTCTACTGAGAATTCTGGCTGCTCTCTAATTCTTCTGATCATATTACTTCCCCAAAGCTGCTGACAAGCTTTTTAGCGGCAGGAGGAGAATGACGAGATGGCCAGAGAAGGGGCAGGAGCAGCGGAGAGGGACAGACCTGCGCTCGACTTTGGCAAAGCCGAGTGAGGGTAGGGCCCTGCCCCCGTGGATGAGCAGACGTGGATGTGTCCGCATCCACGGGATGCGGTGGTGGATCGGATGTTGGAGGCGGGGAGAAGGAGGCGTCGGGAACCACATGCACTTTGGGCTCTAGAGGCTGATGATGTCCAAGGGGCAAGGAGCCCTGAAGGCGGCAAGTTTTTGAGAGGAAGATCACAAGTCTAGTCTTGTATTTACTGGGTTGAAAGTGCTTGTGAGAAATGCAGGAGAGCAGTTGGAATTCAGGCAGTTGGGATCCAGATCTGGAGCTCAGAGGTAAGATCTGGCTGGGGATATAAAATTTGAAATTATTTTTGTAAGCAAAACTTCAGTTAAAAAAATAATAGTACTGAACCAGTAGGAAAAGACATACAATGTCAAATGCATCTTTCAGTCTCCTTTTTGTCTCCTCAGAAGCAATCATCCATCCTAGTTTGGCGTGTATTTCTAGAGATAGCCTGTGTGTCTGTAAGAATATGTATATCTTGTAAGAATGTGTGTATCTTTTTGTAAAGCTCCTAAGTGGAAGCATACTGTACCTATTTTGTCCCTTTGCTTTTTTCCTTAAAAATATTTTTGGGATATCATTTCATGTCAGTAAGTCTAGTGCTGACTTGTTCTTTTTAACAATTGAATAATGTTTCCTCTTTCTCTTTTATTGCATATTTTTAAACGTACTGTTTTGTATAGATTATATATTCATGTAGTAGAAAAGGCAAGAAATACATTCATCTATAAAGGTATCCAGGGAAATAGCCATTCCTGTCCCCCATCTGCCTAATCCTTCCCTCTCACCCACCCAAGAAGACATGAAGTTATTTATGAAAGCATTATTTGAAGTGGTAGAGTTGGAAGCCATTTAGAGAATCCATCAGTGAGAGAATGGATGTGTAAACTGTGGTGGATGCACACATGGAATACAGTGTAAGAGTCAGCATCCACAGATTGGAGGAATAATTAAGGAGAGTACTGAGTGAAAACACCACGGAACAGAGTGAGTGTAACATGTTACTGTTTGTGTAAATGAAAACGATAGGCACACAAAATAATCCTTTTGCAAGAACACATACACACAAGAAGACATACCCTTTTTTACTGAGAATGATTTAAGGTGAGTCGGAGAGGGAAATTAGGGATTTGAGGTTAAAATTTTTTTTAAATTACCTACCTAATCTTTGGAAATGGGGTGTAATTATCCTGTGAAACTGAGAAGGCCTGATGTTTGGGAGGGTTCGTTCTTTGGAAAATTTCTCCTGGGGAAAGTGGTCTGTTGAGGTCAGGGGTTGGCAAACCCCTCTGGCCACATCTGGCCCACCGCCTGCTTTTGTGAATGATGCTTTACTGGAATGTAGCCGCACGCATCCGTGTGTGTGTGTTGTCTGTGGCTGCTTTCATGCCATAGCCGCAGAGGTGAGTAGTTCCATCTATTCAAATGGTCCACAAAGCCTTAAATGCTTACCATATATACGCTTTACAGAAAAAAAGCTTGCCAACCCTGGTTTAGATTTTCCCTCTCTTCCGGACTCAGTTTTTATTCTAACTTGTTAACTTGTGCTTTTTAAAATAATTACTTCCTTTTTCAGTGATAATTTCTTAGTCTTCCCTTGTCTTATGGTCAGTAATTTTGTAGAATTATGTTTGCTGTTTTCTTATGATTAGATTGTGCTTGTGCATTTTTGGCAAGAATACCAGGGAAACAATGTATCTTCCTCAATTGGGGTTGCCAGATTAGCAAAGCAAAATGCAGGATACCAGCTAAATTAGAATTTCGGAGAAAAAACAAATAGTGTCATAGTGTAAGTATGTCCCGTGCAATGCCTTATCCTCGATGCATCATATCAGAGAATATGTGATACTGTCATGTCTTATTAGTGATGTTAACCTTGAAGTTACAGTGGTGGCTGGGACAGCTCCACTGAAAGCTAATATTTTTCCCTTTATAATTAGTAAACATCTTGGGAGAGATACTTTGAGACTATGCAAATATCCTATTTTTCCTGGAAATTTTGCCTACTTATTTTTGCATCCATTGGTATATCTTGCCTGAAAAAATTATTACTGTGGGTTTTTTAATGGCAATTTTGTATTTCCATCATTCCTTCCACACTTATTAATTGGGATTTTTCTAGAAGGACGTGTTATCCCTTCTCTCCCTGGTTAGATTTCTTCAGTTATTTATTTTGTTCAGTTTGGACTCATAAATACATTATCCTAGGATTATAATCCAATACTATCATTATTAATTTCATTGCTCAGATTGCTCCAGATCTCATTTGGAATTCTTTCAGATTGGGTCCTGTGCCATTTTAACGTGCCCATCCTTTTTTGAGTACTTCCTTACTTTAATTCATTTATTACATTATTGTTGTTATGATTTATCAGCTTTTAGTGTATTCACAGAGTTGTATATCTATCAACACAATCAGTTTTGAATATTTTATTTTTTTGTTTTGTTTTGAGGGGTAGGTAATTAGGCTTGTTTATTTTATTATTTTATTTTATTTTATATTTTATTTTTATTTTATTATTTTATTTTTTATTTTATTTTTTATTCTATTTTATTTTTTAATTTAATTTATTTTATTTTATTTTTATTTTATTTTTATTTTATTTATTTTATACTTTTATTTTTTATTTTTATTTTATTTTATTTTATTTGTTTTATTTATTATTTTTTATTTTATTATATTTTATTTTAATTAATGGAGGTACTGGGGATTGAATGCAGGACCTTGTGCATACTAAGCATGTGCTCTACCACTGAGCTATACCCTTCCCCCTGGAATATTTTTATTACTCCAAAAAGGAACCCCATGCCCCTTAGTTGTTACTCCCCAAACCCACCATCCCCAACCCTGTGTAAACCACTAATCTACTTACCTTCTTCCTCTGTGGATTTGCCTATTCTGGACATTTCATATAAATGGACTCATATAATATATGGTCCTTTGTGACTGGCTTCTTTCAGTCATAATATTTCTGGGGTTGTATTAATGTCCTAGGGTTGCTATAACAAATTACCATAAACAGTAGTGCAAAACAACTGAAATTTATTCTCTCATAGTTTTGGGGCCTAGAAGTCTGAAATTGTGGTGTTGACAGGGCCATGTTCCCTTTGAAAACTGAGGGAAGAATCTGTTCATGCCTCTCTGCAATTTCTAGTGATTGCAAGTGATCCTTGGCATTCCTTGGCTTGTAACTGTATCATTCCAGCCTCTGCCTCTGGCATCACTTGGCTTCTCCCCAGGTGTCTCTGTGTCCCTGTGTCTTCATGGGACTTCTTATAAGGACACCAGTCATTGGATGTAGGGCCCACTCTAATCCAGTAGGACCTCACCTTAACTTGATTACATCTGGGAAAACCGTATTTCTAAATAAAGTTAGAGATAGGAGGGGGTGGGGCCTCAGCATATCTTTTTTGGAGGACAGTAATTCACCCCACAGCAGGGGTTCATCCACATTGTAGCATGTATCAGAATTTCATTCCTTTTTATGGCCAATAATATCACATTGTGTGACTGTCACATTTATTTGCCTGTTCATCAGGTGATGGACATTTAGGTTTCCACTTTTTGCCTATAATGCTGCTGTGAACATTAATGTACAAGTTTTTGTGTGCACACACTTTCACTTCTCTTGGGTATTTACCTTGGAGTTGGATTGAGATCATAGAGTAACTCTATTTCACCGTTGAAGAACTGCCCAACTCTTGCTTTTTATAAATTTTATTTATTTTATTATTACTTGGAGGGAAGGGAGGTAATTAGGTTGGTTTGTTTGTTTAATGGCAGTATCGGGGATTGAACCCAGGACCTCGTGCATGCTAAGCATGCGCTCTTCCCCTTCAGCTATACCTTCCCTCCTGCCCAACTCTTTTTCAAGGTGGCCACACTATTCTACAGTCCCATCAGCATTGTATGAACAGTATATTTCTCCACATCCTGGCCAGCACTTGTTATTATTCATCTTTTTAATTATATTCATCCCAGTGGATGTCAAGTGGTACCTCACTGTCATTTTGATTCTGATGGTTAGTGGTGTTGAGCATCTTTTCATGTGCTTATTAGCCATTTATAACTTTTTCTTAGAGAAATGTCTTTTCAGATCTTTTGTCAATTTTCTAATTGGGTTATTTGTCTTTTTATTATTAAGTTAAAGAGTTCTTTATTCTAGTACAAATTCCGTCTCTGTCTTTGAACTTTCTTCATGGTGTCA